TGTCAGGAAAAAAGTCCAGGTGTGAGTGTAGGAAATGTATTTTAAGAGACATATTACAGCCCATCTTTTGATACGATGACAGCATATTTTTGACAAGGGTTTTATAGTTGTCAGCTTTTCTATTTCCCAAGAAATTAGTGGCCACCAGACGGAAATCATTCCAAGCAGTTTTTTCAATACCTGTTAAAGTGTTTTCAAACTGTGTATCTTTCAAAATATTTCGAATCTGTGGCTCAACAAAAATACCTTCTTTAACCTTTGCCTCACTTAGTCTTGGAAATTTCTGACGCAGGTATTGAAAAGCTGACCCATCTCTATCTAATGCCTTGACAAAGTTTTTCATTAGGCCCAACTTGATATGCAGTGGTGGTAATAAAATTTTTTTCGAATCTACTAATGGCATATGCTGTACATTTTTTTGACCTGGCTATAGGAATTGACGAACAGGCCAGTTTTGTCTGGTGTAATGAAGTGCCTTTGCCCGACTGTCCCATTCACACAAAAAACAGCAAAACTTTGTGTAGCCTAGCTGCAGCCCAAGTAAAAGTGCAACAACTTTCAAATCGCCACAAATATGCCATTGGTGCTCATCGTATTTTATGCATGTCAATAGGTACTTCATATTGTCATATGATTCTTTCATGTGAACTGCATACCCTACAGGAAGAGATGGTAAAATATTTCCAATATGCAATAACACTGCCTTTAAACTCAATGTTGAACTGTCTATAAACAATCTCCATTCTTCTGGGTTATAGTTTATATTTAAAGCCGCCAGTAAGCCGTTAATATTACTGCAGAAAACCAAGTTATTCTCCATATTGAAAAATGGTTCTAAGTCTTTGTGGCGTTTACGAAACACACATACCGAAACATCGTCTTCTAACAAGTTCCACTGCTGCAGTCTTGATCCAAGTAACTCTGCCTTACATTTTGGAAGTTCTAAATCTCTTACAAGATCATTTAATTCTGACTGTGTTATTTTGTGCGGTTGGTGGTATGACGTGCTCGGTATAAAATCAGGATCTCTTGACGTTGATGGCATACCTTCTTCCTGACGAATCACTCGATCGCCATGATCTGATTCGTTTTCTGATTCGCAAGTGTAGGATTCTGGGGGTTTTGGAATAGGATTTTCGTCACTGTGAGACACAGGTTTCATCGCAGATGGTATATTTGGGTAGTTAATAACCGATTTTTTTTTCTTGCACATACCTGTAGCTTGTCCAACACAAGGTACCATGCAAAAGTAACAATCATTAATATGATTTGTAAGCTCTCTCCAAACCATTGGGACAGCAAAGCGCATAGACCGTTTGTTGCCATTTACCCAGCTCCTCAGACTTGAAGCACATGTATTACAGCAGATGTGGGGTGCCCACTGTTTGTCTTGATCACCTAGTTTACAACCGAAATAAAGCTGATATGCCTTTGTCATTAGTGGAGTAATGTCTCTGAGACGCAAAAGTCACATCACCACACACGTAACAAAACTGATCTGGATTATTTACACACTTTCGAGACATCTTGCATGAACGCTGTCAGCCAACTGAGGAAAAAATGGCTAATATAAAACAATATAATGTACACGTATGTATAACGTAACACAATCATGCCGATTACGTCATCTTTCCTTGCCGAATATAAAAATGTAGCACGTGCATTCTTGTGAATTACAGTATATTAACACTGTCACAGCAGGAACACATATAATTACCGTATCTCTAAAACTTGAACTAATATTGAAAATGTTATGATATTTACATCAAAAGGTATTTCGTTATGAATTAGCTTTTCGAACATCTTCGAGAATATGCACAGCTGCGTTATGCAATATTTCCTCAGACTGAAGGCAACGTCAAAGATATCGTAACTCATTTTATCTTTCCTTGAGGTTTTCAGACAAAACTACTATGATTCTCGCGCCAGTCATTATCGCATAGACGTAACAAACAAGAAGAAAAAGGTATTTTTGTTTACTAGATTACCACCAGTCGTTAATTATGAAGTTATTTATTTGACCTACTATTTGTAAATAGTCTGGAAGGTCTACCGCTGCAAAAAATAGATTTTTCAAGCATGAAAAAAAAAATGAAACATTTTCAATCCAGTCGAATGTTTAAAGCAAATAGTCTGTTGAAAAACATAATGAATTTTGATTAGAACATTGTATTTTGATTCTAAATCTTATTAATTATGTTCCAATTTCCAATATAATTTCGCCTCTTCTGTGAGGTCGAATTTTTTGTGATAATGAGCCGTATTCATAAAAGAGAAGCATATCCTTGGAAGCATAAGGTAAAAGTATATAAGGTCTCGCTTCGGAGAAAAAGATAGAAGTATACTTTATCTGAAGTCACTTGAAACACTATGAAATACCGGGTGCGTTTTATATATCTATATTTAACACGCTCTGTTGCTGCAAAAATCGCCAAATTTCGTATAAGATCAAAGGCAGTTTCACCGGTCCACGTGGAGTAAAGCACGCCTATGCGTGGACATAGCCAATGAGAAAGCGTGTATTTCAGAGCTCCGAACAAGTGCAGGTGGCTACTGAAAATTGAAACAGTTTAGCCAGTGCCGTGTAGCGGTGAATAAACGTGTTTTCTTTAGTCTGTCCGTGTTTTTTCATAGATTTTATTAGTTTTTGTGTTTTTGACTTTTGAATACTCAGTTTACTTGTTGATTTAATTGTTGTGTTGATTGTTCTTGTGTGTCCTAAATATGGCTCTTTGGAGACCTTGGGAAAATGCTCCAAGCCACGAGGAGATGGTTGATGAACCTGTGCAGGCAGAATTCTTTCATAAAGATTTAGAGGAGCAGACCCAAAGAGTAATCCTAAATATGTATGATTGTCTGAAAAACGAAAATCCAGATTCCTCGCAAAATCTAATTTTAAACAGAATTTGTATCCTGACAAAACTCAGTCGGTCTACCATTTATCGGGTTATAAAAAGGGGAGATGTAGTCAACCATTCCTTCCACAGAAAGCGCATAGGGCAAAAATTGAAAAGAATAGACGTGGGTTTTCAGGAAGATATTCGTCGTATAATATACGGATTTTATAAAGAAAATTTGGTGCCCACGTTGGAAATGATACGGGATAAATTAAAAGATTATCCTGAAAATTTTTATAATTACAAATGCTTAGACTCACTGCACTGTATTGTAAAACTGTGTGGTTTTCAATACAAAAAATTAGATAAAAGAATGAAGTCGTCTCGAATCGTTGAATTGCGCCAAGAATTTTTGCACAAAGTTAAAATCTATAGAGAGCAGAAAAGAAATCTGATTTACCTGGATGAAACGTGGTATGATACCCATGATGTTGTGCAGTACGGCTGGGTTGACGACAGCAACAAGTGCATTTTAAATGCACCATGCAACCGTGGAAAACGAATCATTATTCTCCATGCTGGCAGTGAAAATGGATTTATACCTAATGCCTTGCTGTTATCTGCCAAAAATATCAAAGAATCATGTGCCGACTATCATGAGGACATGACCTCCGACTTATTTGAAAAGTGGATAGAGCAGCAGTTGATACCAAACATTTCCCCAAATTCAGTGATTATTATGGACAATGCGCCATACCATTCTCGACAGAAAAACAAAATTCCGAATACAGGCACAAAAAAACAAGACATTATTGATTTTATGAAGGATAAGGGAATGGAAATACCACAAAAATCAACCAAAGCCATATTATTGGATCTTATTAAAAGACAAAAATTTGAAAAAGGGTATGTTGTTGACAATCTGCTTCAGCAAAATGGTCATGAAGTATTACGTCTACCTCCCTATTACTGCATTTTTAACCCGATTGAGTTGGTCTGGGCTGCTTTAAAAAAAAAGTAAGAAAACATAATCAGACCCCTCAATTAAGTGAATCGCTATTGGCCACAATAAGAGATGCAGTATCTCATATTGCTGCCACAGACCTATGGAAGCAGTGTTCTAGGCATATTATTGAAAAAGAAAATGAATATTGTGTTTTGCCTCCTGTAAATCCCGTTGTAATTCCTCTACAAGATGACTCTAGCGACAGCTCCGAAGGCGAGGATGACATATAAATATCTATAATGTAAGTCTTTATATACCTTTTTATATACCTACCTGCTATGTAAATATTTGCCTATGTCAAACGTTGGAATTCTGTAATTTTTCCATTTCTTAAGTTTCAGTCAACATAAATTAAACTCCCAATATAAGTATTTTTTATCCCAAATTAAAAAAATAAGAAGATAGTAAAATCCATTTATTGTGATATAAAAACATTATTATTATCGTTCTAAATAAATAACCGCACGCCTATGATACGTCATGAAATTACAAAGGACGCGCCGACCAAAGGTTTTTATGCTATTTCAAGTGACTTCAGATAAACCATACAAGCATATCCTTGTTTTCATATTCATAATGATTACCTTATACTCGCGAGGATATCCTCCAAGAAGCAGTGAAAGGTTGAATGGTATTTGTATCTTGCGCGACATGCCCTGACTTGTTCCACCTTGTAGTTGACGTGGGAGTTCGTTCACTCAGCATCACAGACAGTTTTACTCCAGAGCTTACACAGACCGTTCCGTATTTTTACTGGATACAGTTTTTTATCAAATTAATAAGCATGTCATCCTGAAGTGAACTATAGAAAATAATGGCAACGACCTGCAGTTCATCGCAGATGCAAAAGTCACAAGTTCCAAAAAGAAAAATGAGAAGGGACGATGCCTTGAAGAAGATGTTGAAAAAATATGAATCAACATTCGGAATTTTTTAGGATATGCTTCCTATGCCAAGTCTAAGGTGAATATTATGAATATCCTTTTACTTATGTCACTGCTTATACTCAAAAAGCATAAGCGTTTACTTCAAATTATTATAAATACCATCTGGAGGATTTCCTCCAAAATTTGCAAGTACAACGATATCCCTTGTTTTATGAATACGGCTCACTATCTTTCAACTTGAGCACATCGAAATGCATCTGCTCAATCTCATCAGCATTCATAGCACTCTTTGATCCAACTGTCTATATCTAGTGTGATGTTGCTCAAAGCACTCTTGAAGTTTTCATAGCTACATTCAAATTCACATCCTCGAACGGCAAGTTTTTTCAAATCACTGTCAGATTTTAAATAAACATTGACGAAGTATCGACCGCACTGTGTTCTTTTTAACTCCCACAAGACAGTGAAAGCTGATCCTGGTAAGTGACCGTCGAAAACTCCCATAGAGTTTAGAATAATAGATAAGGTTGTTCCATGAGCTGAGATCATCAACATCTTAGGAACAGACGAAGATTGATCGGGTGATATTGCTTTATCCATGTGCTTGAAAATGTAGTCAAAGAAAGGCCCCGACCTCAGACGTTTCATCGATAAGGTGGTAGTATACCTAAAAAAATAAATGGATGTTGTCAAGCAGGTTAACTCCTGATTTGAATGATTCTAACAAAAACGTTTATCGAGCTGATTTCAATGAGAGTTTGTTAGTAACTAGTACTCCGTAATGTTTCAATTGTCACTAAAACATTTTGAAGATATTGCAAGTATGCCGTTGAAATGTGATTAGTTTGATATCCGCCAAAAACAATTTTTCAAAAAAAAAACAACTATACTAAGTGACATATAAATCCGAACACCCAGTTTAAATAGTTTTATTTTAATAAAAGTTAGTGAATGTACTTATCTTACTGTAAATAACAAGTGAAAACATTTTCAGCCTTATCTGTTGGACATTCCGGTTTTTATACTGCTTTCTTTTAATTCACTAACGCTCTAAAAATGAATATTTCAGCCGCAGTAAAGAATCAACGTTGGCGGATTTTGGTTCTTGACATCCTTTACCATCGCTTACGATGCCTAGAGTACGGAGACCTGTACGATTTCGTCAACTTAGTGAGTTTGATAGGGGCCGTATAGTGGGACTTCGGGAAGCTGGACTTTCTTTTCGGGCAATTGCAGTTAGAGTGCAAAGAAGTGTAGACACTGTGGTTAGGTGTTGTCAGGCATGGCTTCGAGAAGGCCGTACGCAAAGAGCAAGGGGCACTGGACGCCGCCGTAGAACAACAGACCGCGAAGATCGCCACCTAAGATTATTGGCCTTAAGGGACCGTTTCTCCACTACCAGGTCCATTGCAAATGAATGGTTTGTAGAACACGGAAGACCTATTGACATGCGAAGTGTTTACCGACGAATGAGAAGTTTTGGCTTGTTTTCATACCGGCCACACTGGGTCCTCCCTTTAACTCGAGAACACCGACGTAATCGCCTTGAGTGGTGCAGACAACGGTCACTCTGGGATCAGGAATGGAACAGTATTGTCTTTAGTGACGAGTCTCGATTTTGTTTAGGCATGCACGATGGTGGTGCCAGGGCGACGTGGTGAAAGGAGGAATCCACAGTTTTTTGTTGAAAGACATGTTCATCACACTGTTGGAGTTATGGTTTGGGGTACTATAGCTTATGGTTCCAGGTCACCTTTAATCTTCATCAGATGTAACATGAACGCGCAGCGTTATATCCACGAAGTTCTAGAACCCCATCTTTTACCCTATCTTGACACCCTGGCAGATCCAACGTTCCAACAAGATAATGCCCGACCACATGTTGCAAGAGTCACAATAGACTTCTTTCAACATAATGATGTCACATTGTTACCATGGCCACCAAGATCTCCCGACTTATCCCCAATTGAGCACGTGTGGGATATGATGGGTAGGAGATTGCTCAATTTGCAACGTCCTCCTCAGACTCTAGAAGCACTTCGAGAGGAGTTGGTGGTTGCCTGGAATGAGATACCACAGGAGGACATTGACCACCTGATCAGAAGCATGCCTAGGCGCATTGGAGAATGCAGGGTGCATCCACACATTATTAAAGGTCAAAAGGCTTTAAAGCAGTGCAATCATTTTGAAATTTTTATCATTTACTTATTATGCTTCATTAAGTACTTATACAAAATTTTATTAAAATAAAACCATTTAAACTGGGTGTTCGGATTTATATGTCACTTAGTATATATTTACATAAGCGGAAATCTTTTTCCAGAAAAAAAAAAGTAAGTAAGTACATTTTGTGTTATTTGATCATGATCAGTGTCTTCAACAAATTCAACTCAACCAGCCGTAATTCTACTATTCTACAATTATTTATCATTCATAACAATGAGGCTTAATGTAAAACATATACTTGCAGATTTAAGTGGCCAGCTCCTAGACTATTAGAAAAGTGGTCATAGGGCGAAACTGTCAAAGCACAGCGTTGCCAGATGGGTCAGACAGAATTTCCCCAGAACAAGGACAAAAATCTCTCAGAATTGCTAATGTTAAAGAAATCCTCCAAATCACAGTTGTTTAATGGAAAGCGGCGGGTGCGGGAGGATGTTTTCAAAAATATTCCGCAAGTAAAAATTCCCCATATTTGAGGGAAATCCTCTCAATATGGCAACCCTGTTAAAGCACCACTGGTACTGATGATTCAAGCTTCGGGGTCGTTTTTACAGCACTAACAACGTTGCCGTAGTTTCTCTCTTTTTTGACAGGGGAATGCTTTTATAGCTCGATCGCGCTGCCCTACAGGCCCTTCCTGTCTGAAGTGTGAGATTCTCCAGAAATAGCACTAACACCGTTGAGTCATCCGCCACACATCCCGCCACGGTAATGCTTGCAGCATTTCTTTATATTGGGTAGCGATGCGCTGGTTTCCATATCGTAGTTATTAGTCATCTATTCTATCTCGTACACATACATACATTTATAACTGTCTACATATACAACTGAGCAAAATGGATATCTACCATTGGTTCCCTGGTCTATTTTTTTCCTCTGTACCTTACTCAGCATCATTCGCCGTAGCTATACTAAGTGACATATAAATCCGAACACCCAGTTTAAATCGTTTTATTTTAATAAAAGTTGGTGAATGTATTTATCTTACTGTAAATAACAAGTGAAAAAATTTTCAGCCTTATCAGTTGGACATTCCGGTTTTTATACTGCTTTTTTTTAATTCACTAACGCTCTAAAAATGAATGAATGAATATTTCAGCCGCAGTAAAGAATCAACGTTGGTGGACTTTGGTTCTTGACATCCTTTACGATCGGTTACGATGCCTAGAGTACGGAGACCTGTACGATTTCGTCAACTTAGTGAGTTTGATAGGGGCCGTATAGTGGGACTTCGGTAAGCTGGACTTTCTTTTCGGGCAATTGCAGTTAGAGTGCAAAGAAGTGTAGACACTGTGGTTAGGTGTTGTCAGGCATGGCTTCGAGAAGGCCGTACGCAAAGAGCAAGGGGCACTGGACTTAGCCGTAGAACAACAGACCGTGAAGATCGCCGCCTAAAATTATTGCCCTTAAGGGACCGTTTCTCCACTACCAGGTCCATTGCAAATGAATGGTTTGCAGAACACGGAAGACCTATTGGCATGCGAAGTGTTTACCGACGAATGAGAAGTTTTGGCTTGTTTTCATACCGGCCACACTGGGTCCTCCCTTTAACTCAAGAACACCGTCGTAATCGCCTTGAGTGGTGCAGACAACGGTCACTCTGGGATCAGGAATGGAACAGTATTGTCTTTAGTGACGAGTCTCGATTTTGTTTAGGCATGCACGATGGTCGTGCCAGGGTTAGAAGGCGACGTGGTGAAAGAAGGAATGCACAGTTTTTTGTTGAAAGACATGTTCATCACACTGTTGGAGTTATGGTTTGGGGTGCTATAGCTTATGGTTCCAGGTCACCTTTTATCTTCATCAGAGGCAACATGAACGCGCAGCGTTATATCCATATATGACATATAAATATCTATAATGTAAGTCTTTATATACCTTTTTATATACCTACCTGCTATGTAAATATTTGCCTATGTCAAACGTTGGAATTCTGTAATTTTTCCATTTCTTAAGTTTCAGTCAACATAAATTAAACTCCCAATATAAGTATTTTTTATCCCAAATTAAAAAAATAAGAAGATAGTAAAATCCATTTATTGTGATATAAAAACATTATTATTATCGTTCTAAATAAATAACCGCACGCCTATGATACGTCATGAAATTACAAAGGACGCGCCGACCAAAGGTTTTTATGCTATTTCAAGTGACTTCAGATAAACCATACAAGCATATCCTTGTTTTCATATTCATAATGATTACCTTATACTCGCGAGGATATCCTCCAAGAAGCAGTGAAAGGTTGAATGGTATTTGTATCTTGCGCGACATGCCCTGACTTGTTCCACCTTGTAGTTGACGTGGGAGTTCGTTCACTCAGCATCACAGACAGTTTTACTCCAGAGCTTACACAGACCGTTCCGTATTTTTACTGGATACAGTTTTTTATCAAATTAATAAGCATGTCATCCTGAAGTGAACTATAGAAAATAATGGCAACGACCTGCAGTTCATCGCAGATGCAAAAGTCACAAGTTCCAAAAAGAAAAATGAGAAGGGACGATGCCTTGAAGAAGATGTTGAAAAAATATGAATCAACATTCGGAATTTTTTAGGATATGCTTCCTATGCCAAGTCTAAGGTGAATATTATGAATATCCTTTTACTTATGTCACTGCTTATACTCAAAAAGCATAAGCGTTTACTTCAAATTATTATAAATACCATCTGCAGGATTTCCTCCAAAATTTGCAAGTACAACGATATCCCTTGTTTTATGAATACGGCTCACTATCTTTCAACTTGAGCACATCGAAATGCATCTGCTCAATCTCATCAGCATTCATAGCACTCTTTGATCCAACTGTCTATATCTAGTGTGATGTTGCTCAAAGCACTCTTGAAGTTTTCATAGCTACATTCAAATTCACATCCTCGAACGGCAAGTTTTTTCAAATCACTGTCAGATTTTAAATAAACATTGACGAAGTATCGACCGCACTGTGTTCTTTTTAACTCCCACAAGACAGTGAAAGCTGATCCTGGTAAGTGACCGTCGAAAACTCCCATAGAGTTTAGAATAATAGATAAGGTTGTTCCATGAGCTGAGATCATCAACATCTTAGGAACAGACGAAGATTGATCGGGTGATATTGCTTTATCCATGTGCTTGAAAATGTAGTCAAAGAAAGGCCCCGACCTCAGACGTTTCATCGATAAGGTGGTAGTATACCTAAAAAAATAAATGGATGTTGTCAAGCAGGTTAACTCCTGATTTGAATGATTCTAACAAAAACGTTTATCGAGCTGATTTCAATGAGAGTTTGTTAGTAACTAGTACTCCGTAATGTTTCAATTGTCACTAAAACATTTTGAAGATATTGCAAGTATGCCGTTGAAATGTGATTAGTTTGATATCCGCCAAAAACAATTTTTCAAAAAAAAACAACTATACTAAGTGACATATAAATCCGAACACCCAGTTTAAATAGTTTTATTTTAATAAAAGTTAGTGAATGTATTTATCTTACTGTAAATAACAAGTGAAAACATTTTCAGCCTTATCTGTTGGACATTCCGGTTTTTATACTGCTTTCTTTTAATTCACTAACGCTCTAAAAATGAATATTTCAGCCGCAGTAAAGAATCAACGTTGGCGGATTTTGGTTCTTGACATCCTTTACCATCGCTTACGATGCCTAGAGTACGGAGACCTGTACGATTTCGTCAACTTAGTGAGTTTGATAGGGGCCGTATAGTGGGACTTCGGGAAGCTGGACTTTCTTTTCGGGCAATTGCAGTTAGAGTGCAAAGAAGTGTAGACACTGTGGTTAGGTGTTGTCAGGCATGGCTTCGAGAAGGCCGTACGCAAAGAGCAAGGGGCACTGGACGCCGCCGTAGAACAACAGACCGCGAAGATCGCCGCCTAAGATTATTGGCCTTAAGGGACCGTTTCTCCACTACCAGGTCCATTGCAAATGAATGGTTTGTAGAACACGGAAGACCTATTGACATGCGAAGTGTTTAACGACGAATGAGAAGTTTTGGCTTGTTTTCATACCGGCCACACTGGGTCCTCCCTTTAACTCGAGAACACCGACGTAATCGCCTTGAGTGGTGCAGACAACGGTCACTCTGGGATCAGGAATGGAACAGTATTGTCTTTAGTGACGAGTCTCGATTTTGTTTAGGCATGCACGATGGTGGTGCCAGGGCGACGTGGTGAAAGGAGGAATCCACAGTTTTTTGTTGAAAGACATGTTCATCACACTGTTGGAGTTATGGTTTGGGGTACTATAGCTTATGGTTCCAGGTCACCTTTAATCTTCATCAGATGTAACATGAACGCGCAGCGTTATATCCACGAAGTTCTAGAACCCCATCTTTTACCCTATCTTGACACCCTGGCAGATCCAACGTTCCAACAAGATAATGCCCGACCACATGTTGCAAGAGTCACAATAGACTTCTTTCAACATAATGATGTCACATTGTTACCATGGCCACCAAGATCTCCCGACTTATCCCCAATTGAGCACGTGTGGGATATGATGGGTAGGAGATTGCTCAATTTGCAACGTCCTCCTCAGACTCTAGAAGCACTTCGAGAGGAGTTGGTGGTTGCCTGGAATGAGATACCACAGGAGGACATTGACCACCTGATCAGAAGCATGCCTAGGCGCATTGGAGAATGCAGGGTGCATCCACACATTATTAAAGGTCAAAAGGCTTTAAAGCAGTGCAATCATTTTGAAATTTTTATCATTTACTTATTATGCTTCATTAAGTACTTATACAAAATTTTATTAAAATAAAACCATTTAAACTGGGTGTTCGGATTTATATGTCACTTAGTATATATTTACATAAGCGGAAATCTTTTTCCAGAAAAAAAAAAGTAAGTAAGTACATTTTGTGTTATTTGATCATGATCAGTGTCTTCAACAAATTCAACTCAACCAGCCGTAATTCTACTATTCTACAATTATTTATCATTCATAACAATGAGGCTTAATGTAAAACATATACTTGCAGATTTAAGTGGCCAGCTCCTAGACTATTAGAAAAGTGGTCATAGGGCGAAACTGTCAAAGCACAGCGTTGCCAGATGGGTCAGACAGAATTTCCCCAGAACAAGGACAAAAATCTCTCAGAATTGCTAATGTTAAAGAAATCCTCCAAATCACAGTTGTTTAATGGAAAGCGGCGGGTGCGGGAGGATGTTTTCAAAAATATTCCGCAAGTAAAAATTCCCCATATTTGAGGGAAATCCTCTCAATATGGCAACCCTGTTAAAGCACCACTGGTACTGATGATTCAAGCTTCGGGGTCGTTTTTACAGCACTAACAACGTTGCCGTAGTTTCTCTCTTTTTTGACAGGGGAATGCTTTTATAGCTCGATCGCGCTGCCCTACAGGCCCTTCCTGTCTGAAGTGTGAGATTCTCCAGAAATAGCACTAACACCGTTGAGTCATCCGCCACACATCCCGCCACGGTAATGCTTGCAGCATTTCTTTATATTGGGTAGCGATGCGCTGGTTTCCATATCGTAGTTATTAGTCATCTATTCTATCTCGTACACATACATACATTTATAACTGTCTACATATACAACTGAGCAAAATGGATATCTACCATTGGTTCCCTGGTCTATTTTTTTCCTCTGTACCTTACTCAGCATCATTCGCCGTAGCTATACTAAGTGACATATAAATCCGAACACCCAGTTTAAATCGTTTTATTTTAATAAAAGTTGGTGAATGTATTTATCTTACTGTAAATAACAAGTGAAAAAATTTTCAGCCTTATCAGTTGGACATTCCGGTTTTTATACTGCTTTTTTTTAATTCACTAACGCTCTAAAAATGAATGAATGAATATTTCAGCCGCAGTAAAGAATCAACGTTGGTGGACTTTGGTTCTTGACATCCTTTACGATCGGTTACGATGCCTAGAGTACGGAGACCTGTACGATTTCGTCAACTTAGTGAGTTTGATAGGGGCCGTATAGTGGGACTTCGGTAAGCTGGACTTTCTTTTCGGGCAATTGCAGTTAGAGTGCAAAGAAGTGTAGACACTGTGGTTAGGTGTTGTCAGGCATGGCTTCGAGAAGGCCGTACGCAAAGAGCAAGGGGCACTGGACTTAGCCGTAGAACAACAGACCGTGAAGATCGCCGCCTAAAATTATTGCCCTTAAGGGACCGTTTCTCCACTACCAGGTCCATTGCAAATGAATGGTTTGTAGAACACGGAAGACCTATTGACATGCGAAGTGTTTAACGACGAATGAGAAGTTTTGGCTTGTTTTCATACCGGCCACACTGGGTCCTCCCTTTAACTCGAGAACACCGACGTAATCGCCTTGAGTGGTGCAGACAACGGTCACTCTGGGATCAGGAATGGAACAGTATTGTCTTTAGTGACGAGTCTCGATTTTGTTTAGGCATGCACGATGGTGGTGCCAGGGCGACGTGGTGAAAGGAGGAATCCACAGTTTTTTGTTGAAAGACATGTTCATCACACTGTTGGAGTTATGGTTTGGGGTACTATAGCTTATGGTTCCAGGTCACCTTTAATCTTCATCAGATGTAACATGAACGCGCAGCGTTATATCCACGAAGTTCTAGAACCCCATCTTTTACCCTATCTTGACACCCTGGCAGATCCAACGTTCCAACAAGATAATGCCCGACCACATGTTGCAAGAGTCACAATAGACTTCTTTCAACATAATGATGTCACATTGTTACCATGGCCACCAAGATCTCCCGACTTATCCCCAATTGAGCACGTGTGGGATATGATGGGTAGGAGATTGCTCAATTTGCAACGTCCTCCTCAGACTCTAGAAGCACTTCGAGAGGAGTTGGTGGTTGCCTGGAATGAGATACCACAGGAGGACATTGACCACCTGATCAGAAGCATGCCTAGGCGCATTGGAGAATGCAGGGTGCATCCACACATTATTAAAGGTCAAAAGGCTTTAAAGCAGTGCAATCATTTTGAAATTTTTATCATTTACTTATTATGCTTCATTAAGTACTTATACAAAATTTTATTAAAATAAAACCATTTAAACTGGGTGTTCGGATTTATATGTCACTTAGTATATATTTACATAAGCGGAAATCTTTTTCCAGAAAAAAAAAAGTAAGTAAGTACATTTTGTGTTATTTGATCATGATCAGTGTCTTCAACAAATTCAACTCAACCAGCCGTAATTCTACTATTCTACAATTATTTATCATTCATAACAATGAGGCTTAATGTAAAACATATACTTGCAGATTTAAGTGGCCAGCTCCTAGACTATTAGAAAAGTGGTCATAGGGCGAAACTGTCAAAGCACAGCGTTGCCAGATGGGTCAGACAGAATTTCCCCAGAACAAGGACAAAAATCTCTCAGAATTGCTAATGTTAAAGAAATCCTCCAAATCACAGTTGTTTAATGGAAAGCGGCGGGTGCGGGAGGATGTTTTCAAAAATATTCCGCAAGTAAAAATTCCCCATATTTGAGGGAAATCCTCTCAATATGGCAACCCTGTTAAAGCACCACTGGTACTGATGATTCAAGCTTCGGGGTCGTTTTTACAGCACTAACAACGTTGCCGTAGTTTCTCTCTTTTTTGACAGGGGAATGCTTTTATAGCTCGATCGCGCTGCCCTACAGGCCCTTCCTGTCTGAAGTGTGAGATTCTCCAGAAATAGCACTAACACCGTTGAGTCATCCGCCACACATCCCGCCACGGTAATGCTTGCAGCATTTCTTTATATTGGGTAGCGATGCGCTGGTTTCCATATCGTAGTTATTAGTCATCTATTCTATCTCGTACACATACATACATTTATAACTGTCTACATATACAACTGAGCAAAATGGATATCTACCATTGGTTCCCTGGTCTATTTTTTTCCTCTGTACCTTACTCAGCATCATTCGCCGTAGCTATACTAAGTGACATATAAATCCGAACACCCAGTTTAAATCGTTTTATTTTAATAAAAGTTGGTGAATGTATTTATCTTACTGTAAATAACAAGTGAAAAAATTTTCAGCCTTATCAGTTGGACATTCCGGTTTTTATACTGCTTTTTTTTAATTCACTAACGCTCTAAAAATGAATGAATGAATATTTCAGCCGCAGTAAAGAATCAACGTTGGTGGACTTTGGTTCTTGACATCCTTTACGATCGGTTACGATGCCTAGAGTACGGAGACCTGTACGATTTCGTCAACTTAGTGAGTTTGATAGGGGCCGTATAGTGGGACTTCGGTAAGCTGGACTTTCTTTTCGGGCAATTGCAGTTAGAGTGCAAAGAAGTGTAGACACTGTGGTTAGGTGTTGTCAGGCATGGCTTCGAGAAGGCCGTACGCAAAGAGCAAGGGGCACTGGACTTAGCCGTAGAACAACAGACCGTGAAGATCGCCGCCTAAAATTATTGCCCTTAAGGGACCGTTTCTCCACTACCAGGTCCATTGCAAATGAATGGTTTGCAGAACACGGAAGACCTATTGGCATGCGAAGTGTTTACCGACGAATGAGAAGTTTTGGCTTGTTTTCATACCGGCCACACTGGGTCCTCCCTTTAACTCAAGAACACCGTCGTAATCGCCTTGAGTGGTGCAGACAACGGTCACTCTGGGATCAGGAATGGAACAGTATTGTCTTTAGTGACGAGTCTCGATTTTGTTTAGGCATGCACGATGGTCGTGCCAGGGTTAGAAGGCGACGTGGTGAAAGAAGGAATGCACAGTTTTTTGTTGAAAGACATGTTCATCACACTGTTGGAGTTATGGTTTGGGGTGCTATAGCTTATGGTTCCAGGTCACCTTTTATCTTCATCAGAGGCAACATGAACGCGCAGCGTTATATCCATATATGACATATAAATATCTATAATGTAAGTCTTTATATACCTTTTTATATACCTACCTGCTATGTAAATATTTGCCTATGTCAAACGTTGGAATTCTGTAATTTTTCCATTTCTTAAGTTTCAGTCAACATAAATTAAACTCCCAATATAAGTATTTTTTATCCCAAATTAAAAAAATAAGAAGATAGTAAAATCCATTTATTGTGATATAAAAACATTATTATTATCGTTCTAAATAAATAACCGCACGCCTATGATACGTCATGAAATTACAAAGGACGCGCCGACCAAAGGTTTTTATGCTATTTCAAGTGACTTCAGATAAACCATACAAGCATATCCTTGTTTTCATATTCATAATGATTACCTTATACTCGCGAGGATATCCTCCAAGAAGCAGTGAAAGGTTGAATGGTATTTGTATCTTGCGCGACATGCCCTGACTTGTTCCACCTTGTAGTTGACGTGGGAGTTCGTTCACTCAGCATCACAGACAGTTTTACTCCAGAGCTTACACAGACCGTTCCGTATTTTTACTGGATACAGTTTTTTATCAAATTAATAAGCATGTCATCCTGAAGTGAACTATAGAAAATAATGGCAACGACCTGCAGTTCATCGCAGATGCAAAAGTCACAAGTTCCAAAAAGAAAAATGAGAAGGGACGATGCCTTGAAGAAGATGTTGAAAAAATATGAATCAACATTCGGAATTTTTTAGGATATGCTTCCTATGCCAAGTCTAAGGTGAATATTATGAATATCCTTTTACTTATGTCACTGCTTATACTCAAAAAGCATAAGCGTTTACTTCAAATTATTATAAATACCATCTGGAGGATTTCCTCCAAAATTTGCAAGTACAACGATATCCCTTGTTTTATGAATACGGCTCACTATCTTTCAACTTGAGCACATCGAAATGCATCTGCTCAATCTCATCAGCATTCATAGCACTCTTTGATCCAACTGTCTATATCTAGTGTGATGTTGCTCAAAGCACTCTTGAAGTTTTCATAGCTACATTCAAATTCACATCCTCGAACGGCAAGTTTTTTCAAATCACTGTCAGATTTTAAATAAACATTGACGAAGTATCGACCGCACTGTGTTCTTTTTAACTCCCACAAGACAGTGAAAGCTGATCCTGGTAAGTGACCGTCGAAAACTCCCATAGAGTTTAGAATAATAGATAAGGTTGTTCCATGAGCTGAGATCATCAACATCTTAGGAACAGACGAAGATTGATCGGGTGATATTGCTTTATCCATGTGCTTGAAAATGTAGTCAAAGAAAGGCCCCGACCTCAGACGTTTCATCGATAAGGTGGTAGTATACCTAAAAAAATAAATGGATGTTGTCAAGCAGGTTAACTCCTGATTTGAATGATTCTAACAAAAACGTTTATCGAGCTGATTTCAATGAGAGTTTGTTAGTAACTAGTACTCCGTAATGTTTCAATTGTCACTAAAACATTTTGAAGATATTGCAAGTATGCCGTTGAAATGTGATTAGTTTGATATCCGCCAAAAACAATTTTTCAAAAAAAAACAACTATACTAAGTGACATATAAATCCGAACACCCAGTTTAAATAGTTTTATTTTAATAAAAGTTAGTGAATGTATTTATCTTACTGTAAATAACAAGTGAAAACATTTTCAGCCTTATCTGTTGGACATTCCGGTTTTTATACTGCTTTCTTTTAATTCACTAACGCTCTAAAAATGAATATTTCAGCCGCAGTAAAGAATCAACGTTGGCGGATTTTGGTTCTTGACATCCTTTACCATCGCTTACGATGCCTAGAGTACGGAGACCTGTACGATTTCGTCAACTTAGTGAGTTTGATAGGGGCCGTATAGTGGGACTTCGGGAAGCTGGACTTTCTTTTCGGGCAATTGCAGTTAGAGTGCAAAGAAGTGTAGACACTGTGGTTAGGTGTTGTCAGGCATGGCTTCGAGAAGGCCGTACGCAAAGAGCAAGGGGCACTGGACGCCGCCGTAGAACAACAGACCGCGAAGATCGCCGCCTAAGATTATTGGCCTTAAGGGACCGTTTCTCCACTACCAGGTCCATTGCAAATGAATGGTTTGTAGAACACGGAAGACCTATTGACATGCGAAGTGTTTAACGACGAATGAGAAGTTTTGGCTTGTTTTCATACCGGCCACACTGGGTCCTCCCTTTAACTCGAGAACACCGACGTAATCGCCTTGAGTGGTGCAGACAACGGTCACTCTGGGATCAGGAATGGAACAGTATTGTCTTTAGTGACGAGTCTCGATTTTGTTTAGGCATGCACGATGGTGGTGCCAGGGCGACGTGGTGAAAGGAGGAATCCACAGTTTTTTGTTGAAAGACATGTTCATCACACTGTTGGAGTTATGGTTTGGGGTACTATAGCTTATGGTTCCAGGTCACCTTTAATCTTCATCAGATGTAACATGAACGCGCAGCGTTATATCCACGAAGTTCTAGAACCCCATCTTTTACCCTATCTTGACACCCTGGCAGATCCAACGTTCCAACAAGATAATGCCCGACCACATGTTGCAAGAGTCACAATAGACTTCTTTCAACATAATGATGTCACATTGTTACCATGGCCACCAAGATCTCCCGACTTATCCCCAATTGAGCACGTGTGGGATATGATGGGTAGGAGATTGCTCAATTTGCAACGTCCTCCTCAGACTCTAGAAGCACTTCGAGAGGAGTTGGTGGTTGCCTGGAATGAGATACCACAGGAGGACATTGACCACCTGATCAGAAGCATGCCTAGGCGCATTGGAGAATGCAGGGTGCATCCACACATTATTAAAGGTCAAAAGGCTTTAAAGCAGTGCAATCATTTTGAAATTTTTATCATTTACTTATTATGCTTCATTAAGTACTTATACAAAATTTTATTAAAATAAAACCATTTAAACTGGGTGTTCGGATTTATATGTCACTTAGTATATATTTACATAAGCGGAAATCTTTTTCCAGAAAAAAAAAAGTAAGTAAGTACATTTTGTGTTATTTGATCATGATCAGTGTCTTCAACAAATTCAACTCAACCAGCCGTAATTCTACTATTCTACAATTATTTATCATTCATAACAATGAGGCTTAATGTAAAACATATACTTGCAGATTTAAGTGGCCAGCTCCTAGACTATTAGAAAAGTGGTCATAGGGCGAAACTGTCAAAGCACAGCGTTGCCAGATGGGTCAGACAGAATTTCCCCAGAACAAGGACAAAAATCTCTCAGAATTGCTAATGTTAAAGAAATCCTCCAAATCACAGTTGTTTAATGGAAAGCGGCGGGTGCGGGAGGATGTTTTCAAAAATATTCCGCAAGTAAAAATTCCCCATATTTGAGGGAAATCCTCTCAATATGGCAACCCTGTTAAAGCACCACTGGTACTGATGATTCAAGCTTCGGGGTCGTTTTTACAGCACTAACAACGTTGCCGTAGTTTCTCTCTTTTTTGACAGGGGAATGCTTTTATAGCTCGATCGCGCTGCCCTACAGGCCCTTCCTGTCTGAAGTGTGAGATTCTCCAGAAATAGCACTAACACCGTTGAGTCATCCGCCACACATCCCGCCACGGTAATGCTTGCAGCATTTCTTTATATTGGGTAGCGATGCGCTGGTTTCCATATCGTAGTTATTAGTCATCTATTCTATCTCGTACACATACATACATTTATAACTGTCTACATATACAACTGAGCAAAATGGATATCTACCATTGGTTCCCTGGTCTATTTTTTTCCTCTGTACCTTACTCAGCATCATTCGCCGTAGCTATTTTTAACAACAAAATGATAAACAAACCATGGGCGTAGTGAAGAAAAGCATTTACTTATTAAATAAATTCTTTTAATCAAATTTCTTCTGAAAGTAGTACAAACTAATCTGATGTACCTATTAAAGTCTACTTTAAGCTTTAAATCAATAAATCTTCAAAACTGCTGAACTGAAGCTCATGTATTTTACATCATTATAAAGGGAATTGAAAGACCTTTAAAATAAGGTATCACTCGACCCCCCTTTCCTTTTAAGATTTTGGGGGTGGTGTCACCCCCGCTTAGGGGGCTGTACGTGTTAACGTGATTTTTTACCAAACTTGTGTCCCCCTCGAAAACAAAATCGACGGGTCTGAGCGTTTTTCCAAAAAAAAAAAACTGAGCTGCCAGAAAATGCGTCTGTTTCGATTTCGATGCGCCACCCTGTATGTATTAGGCTCGATGTATGGGACCTTAGCACATTTGTATACCCGTCGGGTCTCATTATCCGGAAATCAATCATTGATGAAAAAGCATAGGAATGGTCCCAGAACCGCGCCCTGAGAACCATCGGCACGTACATGCCATGTTGAAACCAAGACATTGTCAATTTTGTTCCCTAGATTCAAGAAAGAATTATAAAAGCTTTACCTTTTGTATTTTAATCCGTTGAGGAACTCCAGCAAATCCCAGTCGACGTATTTTTCCCACTCCGGTAGGTAGGAGAGGTTGTAATGTTTCATAGACGTTAATGTAGAATGGATCAAATTGATATCAGTAACATCTTTCACCTCGAACCCAGTCCACTCGGACATATTTTTGTATAAATCCGCATTTTTTTCGTTGATTTCGATGTAATAGTCTGAATTGATGGTATCTTTCAAGAGGGCATCGTACTTTGGACAGGTTCTTTTCTCCACGATAACGTCATCTATGTCCCTTGGAACCGTATGCACCGGAATAGGCTGCCAGGCAACGTCACTGTCCCAAAATTGGAAGCCCTTGACAAAAAAAATGAAAATAATTAACTCAACAGATAAAAATTAATTATTGAAAAAAACCTGGAAAACCACTGCTCTCACACGCTCAAGTAGAGGTGAGGGACCTTATAGAAATAATAATACAGGGTGTTGATAAAGTATTCGGGCAAGCTTCAAAGGCTATTTTGCTTACTATGAAAAATCATTGTTTTGTAAAAGTCGTAATAAGTCGATTTTTTTTAAATGCTGGAAAGTAGGTACTTAAATTATATACTAAGTGACATATAAAGCCGAACACCCAGTTTAAATGGTTTTATTTTAATAAAATTTTGTATAAGTACTTAATGAAGCATAATAAGTAAATGATAAAAATTTCAAAGTGATTGCACTGCTTTAAAGCCGTTTGACCTTTAATAATGTGTGGATGCACCCTGATGTGCTACGCATTCTCCAACGCGCCTAGGCATGCTTCTGATCAGGTGGTCAATGTCCTCCTGTGGTATCTCATTCCAGGCAACCACCAACTCCTCTCGAAGTGCTTCTAGAGTCAGAGGAGGACGTTGCAAATTGAGCAATCTCCTACCCATCATATCCCACACGTGCTCAATTGGGGATAAGTCGGGAGATCTTGGTGGCCATGGTAACAATGTGACATCATTATGTTGAAAGAAGTCTATTGTAACTCTTGCAACATGTGGTCGGGCATTATCTTGTTGGAAAGTTGGATCTGCCAGGGTGTCAAGATAGGGTAAAAGATGGGGTTCTAGAACTTCGTGGATATAACGCTGCGCGTTCATGTTACCTCTGATGAAGATTAAAGGTGACCTGGAACCATAAGCTATAGCACCCCAAACCATAACTCCAACAGTGTGATGAACATGTCTTTCAACAAAAAACTGTGGATTCCTCCTTTCACCACGTCGCCTTCTAACCCTGGCACGACCATTGTGCATGCCTAAACAAAATCGAGACTCGTCAGTAAAGACAATACTGTTCCACTCCTGATCCCAGAGTGACCGTTGTCTGCACCACTCAAGGCGATTACGTCGGTGTTCTCGAGTTAAAGGGAGGACCCAGTGTGGCCGGTATGAAAACAAGCCAAAACTTCTCATTCGTCGGTAAACACTTCGCATGCCAATAGGTCTTCCGTGTTCTGCAAACCATTCATTTGCAATGGACCTGGTAGTGGAGAAACGGTCCCTTAAGGCCAATAATCTTAGGCGGCGATCTTCACGGACTGTTGTTCTACGGCGGCGTCCAGTGCCCCTTGCTCTTTGCGTACGGCCTTCTCGACGCCATGCCTGACAACACCTAACCACAATGTCTACACTTCTTTGCACTCTAACTGCAATTGCCCGAAAAGAAAGTCCAATTTCCCGAAGTCCCACTATACGGCCAATATCAAACTCACTAAGTTGACGAAATCGTACAGGTCTCCGTACTCTAGGCATCGTAACCGATCGTAAAGGATGTCAAGAAACAAAATCCGTCAACGTTGATTCTTTACTGCGGCTGAAATATTCATTTTTAGAGCGTTAGTGAATTAAAAAAAAGCAGTATAAAAACCGGAATGTCCAACTGATAAGGCTGAAAATTTTTTCACTTGTTATTTACAGTAAGATAAATACATTCACCAACTTTTATTAAAATAAAACCATTTAAACTGGGTGTTCGGATTTATATGTCACTTAGTATATTTAAATGACAAATACGTATTTGTATGTTACTACTGTTGTTATGTCTCACTAGCTCAGTTTCATTAAGTTGTTTATTATGTTCATTTATTCTATTCGTAATACTAGTATACCGGGTATCATTGTAACAGCAAGTGTTTTAGAAACATCCCTTATATTGACCCTTAAGGGTATAAACAGGGTTGACTTGTGTCAGTATGTTCACTGCAATAAGACGTTAAGTCAGCACTAACAGAAAGATAGTTACGCATTCCAGTGGCGTCTCGGGAACAGCCTCATGAATGATATTGACAAAAAATGTACACCACTGGTTTTTTTTTGAGAAATATATCTTTGTTTCTGATTAAGCAATTAACGATGCAACTTTTTTGTCTCCGTGGGCCTGATTCTAAACGAGCTTCAACCATCGAAATTGATTTCGAATGCCATGATATGTTCAACTTCAAGTATCAAAATTAAAACAGCAAATCAACTATTTTGTTACAATACAATAGTATACCGGGTATCATTGTAACAACAAGTGCTTTAGAAACATCCCTTATATTGACCCTTAAGGGTATAAACAGGGTTGACTTGTGTCAGTATGTTCACTGCAATAAGACGTTAAGTCAGCACTAACAGAAAGATAGTTACGCATTCCAGTGGCGTCTCGGGAACAGCCTCATGAATGATATTGACAAAAAATGTACACCACTGGTTTTTTTTGAGTAAATATATCTTTGTTTCTGATTAAGCAATCAACGATGCAACTTTTTTGTCTCCAGCGGCCTGATTCTAAACGAGCTTCAACCATCGAAATTGATTTCGAATGCCATGATAATTTCAATTTCAGGTGTCAAAATTATCACAGCAAATCAACTATTTTGTTACAATACAATAGTATACCGGGTATCATTGTAACAACAAGTGTCTTAAAAACATCCCTTATATTGACCCTTAAGGGTATAAACAGGGTTGACTTGTGTCAGTATGTTTACTGCAATAAGACGTTAAGTCAGCACTAACAGAAAGATTGTTACGCATTCCAGTGGCGTCTCGGGAACAGCCTCATGAATGATATTGACAAAAAATGTACGCCACTGGTTTTTTTTTGAGAAATATATCTTTGTTTCTGATTAAGCAATCAACGATGCAACTTTTTTGTCTCCAGCGGCCTGATTCCAAACGAGCTTCAACCATCGGAATTGATTTCGAATGCCATGATAATTTCAATTTCAGGTGTCAAGATTATCACAGCGAATCAACTATTTTGTTACAATGCATCGTCCAAATTAGTTTCAACAGTCAAAACTATTTGTATCCCACTTCGTTTAAAAGAACATGAAAGCAATTTCACCACATCTAAAAATTACTAAAATAAGATCAAGTCAACTTTGACTGTTATCAGAGAGTGTTATTCTGTTGTTATCCACACATTTTTAACTGTCCGTGACAGTTTGTTTATTATTTTTCCTCTGTCAAACACCACTTTAAGTTCTTACCTTAGGGGGATATAGTCCCGCCAAATTCGCGTAAGCTGACATCAGAGCTCTGTCTCTATCTGTAGATCTAACATATATTTCCCTTGCGTGATAAATCGGAGATAGTAGTGCGTCATACCGCTTTCGCAACCACTGACCTAGGCTGTATAACCTTTGTATACCAAACTGAAATTAAATAACTTTATAGGAATCAAAAAATTAATAATTATAGTGGCAATCGCCTTTATCTATTAGATATTTTCCATTTCAAAAAATACGTTGGTTCTAATGATCAATTTATTTTAAAATTTACCTTCGTAGGTATGATTTTGGAAATGCTTAATACAATATGGTGTTTCCATTGATTAACATATTATACCTTAAGCCTAATGCGGTATTCCTGCGTCCAAAAAAATGAACGAGATTAAGTGAGGTGCCGTAGCGTCATCTGGGAGAATTTGTCACAGATGCGGCTCCATTTACTGTATATACTTTAAAAAGGTTAGTGCCTCACATATTGCGTGATCTATATACACTAACCTTTTCAAAGTAAATATAGTTTACAGGGTGTCCGCAAAGTTGGGGTTTTCCTTTACACGACGTGTAGATCTCGAAAACATAAGCAATTTTTCTTAGTACCATATACACCAATGTCTCAACGGAACCGAGATAAAGGGCTCTGCAACATCAAAAATATCTGAATACCGTCCTGTAGCCGCGACAGCACCGACTGGTACAAGGTCAGTGGCTCAACCCGACGACAGAACTGGATCGGGGTCAGTGTGTCAGGTCAGTATGCAACCTTCAACCGACGGTTACGGTCACGCGTGTAGAGGTAATCGCGTAGACGAGAATCCCTCAACAAGCACTGGAGACGTGGCTAGAGAAGTGCAAGTATCAAAAACTAAAGTGTGGCAAACGCTGCGTGAAGAGCGGCTGTATCCGTTTCACGTCCAACGTGTACAAGCCCTTCAACCTGACGATTTTCCAGCAAGAGTGCGGTTTTGTGAGTGGTTGTTGCATCAACATGACAATAATCCGGACTTTTTGAAGTGCATATTGGTGACAGACGAATCTACGTTCACGCGTAATGGGGCGAATAACTTTCGCAACACTCATGTTTGGTCAGTAGAAAATCCGCACGCTGTCCGTCGGGCACATTTTCAACAAACATTTTCGGTGAATGTTTGGGCTGGCATGGTGAACGGTATGCTCATTGGACCATTTATTCTCCCAAATCGATTGGACGGGATGCAATACCTAGACTTTTTACGCAACATTTTGCCTTCCTTGTTTGCCTGCGTCTGCTCGGTAGCGCATCAGCTGATTTCATTTTCTGTTGGAGCGGTATGATTTCGGGCAGAGACGTACTTAGCCCTTCTCGTCAACTGGAGAGTGAGTACTTTTTCCTTTATTTTTGTTTTACTTGGTCGCCCTCGTTCACTACACATTACCTTTGTCATTTCAAGGGTAGTTGTTTCTGAAAAGGAAACCGCAACTTTGCGGTCACCCTGTATAGATATAGAGGAATAGCTGTGGCAATTTCGCATAGATAACCACGATATATATATACTCTACGGTATATCTTTGTATCTCGGATATTTTTTGGACGCGGGAATATAGTATTAGGTTGGCTACACGCAATGAAATGAGAAAATTTTAACTCTATAATAGATACTTATGTAGTTAGGGCGTTAAGTGGGTGTTTATGGACCAGCGATGCGTCACGTTTTCGGCTCTAACACGTCAAGAGACATAAGCGCTTAATACGCCCGAGATATAGAAACATTTCATATATGTCTAACTAAAATAAAGTATTTAGATTAGTCAAGTAGAAAATTTTATTTTTTTTTACTTTCTTCTCTTGGTAGTTGCGCCTTCATTAACGAACCCATACGCATGTGCTCAACAGTAGGTTTATTTATACGTAGCTGATGTTAAAGTTCCCGCTCGGTTGTAGATAAAAAGCATTTTTGTGTAACAAAGCTTTCAGGTTCCTATGTAAAGATTTCTTTTGAACTGATCGACAGACATGAGTGACATGGTTTGTCGTGAAGTAAATGCAGCATCCAAAAAATATGATTTTCGAAATTTTCCGCGATGACAACATTTCCTTGTTCAGTGACATAGGAAGTAAAATGAAAGAACTATGAAATTTTCCCTTTAAGCGTAGAATATTATTTAATAAAAAAATACTTTCAGATATAAAGAATTATGATGGGGCAAAAGATGTATGTATACTAAGTGACATATAAATTCGAACACCCAGTTTAAATGGTTTTATTTTAATAAATTTTTTTATAAGTTCTTAATGAAGCATAATAAGTAAATGATAAAAATTTCAAAATAATTGCACTGCTTTAAAGCCCTTTGACCTTTAATAATGTGTGGATGCACCCTGATGTGCTACGCATTCTCCAACGCGCCTAGGCATGCTTCTGATCAGGTGGTCAATGTCCTCCTGTGGTATCTCTATCCAGGCAACCACCAACTCCTCTCGAAGTGCTTCTAGAGTCTGAGGAGGACGTTGCAAATTGAGTAATCTCCTACCCATCATATCCCACACGTGCTCAATTGGGGATAAGTCGAGAGATCTTGGTGGCCATGGTAACAATGTGACATTATTATGTTGAAAGAAGTCTATTGTGACTCTTGCAACATGTGGTCGGGCATTATCTTGTTGGAAAGTTGGATCTACCAGGGTGTCAAGATACCGTAAAAGATGGGGTTCTAGGACTTCGTGGATATAACGCTGCGCGTTCATGTTACCTCTGATGAAGATTAAAGGTGACCTGGAACCATAAGCTATAGCACCCCAAACCATAACTCCAACAGTGTGATGAACATGACTTTCAACAAAAAACTGTGGATTCCTCCTTTCACCACGTCGCCTTCTAACCCTGGCACGACTATCGTGCATGCCTAAACAAAATCGAGACTCGTCACTAAGACATACTGTTCCATTCCTGATCCCAGAGTGACCGTTGTCTGCACCACTCAAGGCGATTACGTCGGTGTTCCTCGAGTTTAAGGGAGGACCCAGTGTGGCCGGTATGAAAACAAGCCAAAACTTCTCATTCGTCGGTAAACACTGCGCATGCCAATAGGTCTTCCGTGTTCTGCAAACCATTAATTTGCAATGGACCTGGTAGTGGAGAAGCGGTCCCTTAAGGCCAATAATCTTAGGCGGCGATCTTCACGGTCTGTTGTTCTACGGCGGCGTCCAGTGCCCCTTGCTCTTTGCGTACGGCGTTCTCGAAGCCATGCCTGACAACACCTAACCACAGTGTCTACACTTCTTTGCACTATAACTGCAATTGCCCGAAAAGAAAGTCCAGCTTCCCGAAGTCCCACTATACGGCCCCTATCAAACTCACTAAGTTGACGAAATCGTACAGGTCTCCGTACTCTAGGCATCGTAACCGATCGTAAAGGATGTCAAGAACCAAAATGCGCCAACGTTGATTCTTTACTGCGGCTGAAATATTCATTTTTCGAGCGTTAGTGAATTAAAAAAAAGCAGTATAAAAACCGGAATGTCCAACTGATAAGGTTGAACATTTTTTCACTTGTTATTTACGGTAAGATAAATACATTCACCAACTTTTATTAAAATAAAACCATTTAAACTGGGTGTTCGGATTTATATGTCACTTAGTATAAACCGGAATAGAGTAGCAGAATACAGGTACATTATACGCAACTGGTGACGCAAATTTTCATCAAATACTGTGGAAGATGGAATCCGCGCGCACCGATGCAAAGAAACACTGCACTAGCAGTAGCGTACGGAAGTCGTCAACACTGTAGGGGAGACCGGAGCTGGTTGTCACATGGGTTGGTTGTCACAATTGTTAAATCTCAGCAGCTCCGCAAGATGTAGTTGCCTGGCGCGCTACACATCGTTGCTGCGCCCGCGCAGAACACTTGTATTCAGTACGAAAGTTGTCGTTGGTAAATTAAGGTCGCACACAAAAAAATAAACAAATCGCCTGACCTGAGTAAATTTTTCATTTGCCACATAGCTTGTGTTTTCAAGACTACATTTGATAATAAAAAGAACTGTTGAATTTATTTTGCTCTTCAATAATCCGAATACGACTTAACGTAAGTATTGACTTTGAATTTGTTAATTTAGTGACGCTATTTAACCTTAAAAATTAATTATCTAGTGGGGCAGGTTGTCTTACATTAGCGGGGGCCTCTTGTCACATGGGACAACCAGCCCCCACACTATACGATTAGCTCTGCACATCATTCTACGTAAGTATATGTATATAATGTATTTGTTTAATATTTCCAGGTTACATAAGCATGGTTCGAAATTTCAAAAGGAAGACCGAGAAGGGCAAAGCGCCACCTGACGTACTTTTAAGAGAAGCTAGATTAGTGAGATTAGGATCCTCAATAAGCAAAGCGGCAGCTGACTTGAATGTAAATTACCGTACTTTAGCAAGATACTGTAAGAAAATTTCAGAGTCTGAATTACTTGATGATCGAGTTGTTGCGCCATCAATTTCAGTTGGCTACATCAAAAATCATTTAGTATTTGAGCCTGAACTTGAAAATCATCTAGTGGAATATGTACTCAAAGCGTCTGATATTTATTTTGGATTATCACCCAAGGAAGTACGTGGACTGGCATATGAATTTGCTAATGCTAATTCCTTGAAAATGCCGGAAAATTGGAAGCTCCATAAAATAGCTGGTCCTGACTGGTTTAGTGCGTTTCTAAAACGTCATCCTGTACTGTCTATTCGCAAACCGGTAGCAACTAGTTTAGCAAGAGCCAGTAGTTTCAATAAAACAAACGTCAACGCAGTTTTTGATAATCTAGCTTCAGTTATGGAAAAACATAAATTTGAGCGTCACGAAATCTGGAACATGGACGAAACTGGGATTACAACTGTTCAAAGACCCGACCGCGTTGTTGTCAGAAGAGGATTCAAACAGGTTGGTTCGATAGTTTCATCTTCTTACTTTAGCAAGTGCAGTATCAGCTGTTGGAAATTCCATACCTCCTTTTTTCATTTTTTCACGGGTGCATTTCAAACCACATTTTTTAAATTCGGCTCCTTCTGGCTCACAAGGTTCTGCAAACCGATCACGTTGGGTGTAAGAGTCACATTTCTTGGAGTTTCTTAGATTTATTCACCTTCATGTGAAAAGTCCTGTTCAGATAATGAAACTGATGGAGAAGTATTGTTTTGCTTGATTTGTCTTGAACCATTTTCTAACAGCGCCAAATGAAGAATGGGTGAAATGCTCATCGTATAATGGTTGGTCTCATGATGCGTGCACTGATGGACGCGAACTTTAAATATGTCATAACTGCGATAGTGACTAATTGTAAAACAACTCTTCTACTTCTTTCTCATAAGATTTGGTGTTTAATAAGCATTTTTGTAATAATAAATATGTTTAAAAGTATGATATCATAATTTATTAATGATCTAAAATACAAGTGACAACCAACCCAAGCAATGAGACATCCAGCCCCAGCAAGGGGCTGGATGTCACATCTGTTTCTGTATTTTGAAACATTTTAATTTAATATTGTGAATTGTTTTATAGCCTTATCGATTTTACATAGTGTTCCCAAAGGAGTTATGCACCAAATATGTGCATATAACGCTTCAGATCGAATAAAAAAAAAGAATTACTGAAAATTGTGACAAGTAGCCCCGGTCTCCCCTAAAGGCAGCCTTCCAATAAAATGTGTTTAACCTCTCTTTTAAAGCCATTCAATATCGTAACCTCACTGGAAGCATATTAAAAAGCATACGTCCAGCATAAGCCGGAAACTTTTTATAGTACATTGACATTTATTGTCAATGAAATAAGTATCGTCACTCTTTCCGCTCCTCACCTGCGTTAGTTCTCCCAGTCCCATCGGCCAATAAGAAGCATGACTGTACTTTATCTTTGAGATTGATAGCTTAGGAGCTCTGTCTCCGTGCCTAAACAACTGGAAACCATAAAACATATCAAGTTATTTCGTTGCAAACCAGTAAATACTGTCTGAAAACAGGATTGTGATTGCCTTTCAGTTAATAAAGCATGATTTGTTGATTCTTCCGTTCAGGTTAATTTAATTAGTCAGAAAATAACAACTTAGTATAATCCTCAAGGGTTTTGTGGACATGATAGTTAATATTACTACAGTATATTCAGATAAGAGATAGACCGGACATAAACAAGACCACGTGATCATCGAACGCTGTAACATTCGGCAGGGACGTATTAAGAGTCACGCAGTACATATTTTAGATAGTAGATGCTGCTTTGCGTAACTTTGTATTAAATTAGCACAATTCGATGTGTATACGATTGGTGATGGATATAGGATCATGTGGGGGTGGGGTAAGAAATATATAATGATGTAAATATACATAAGGGTTTCAAAATTTTCGCTTCGATTTCCAGCTTCGGATGCCGCCTGATGTTTGGTGAAATACAGTCGAATATAATCTCAAATGGCGTTTAAATTAGCCTAAATTAAAAATAATCGTATATCTCTTAAAATTGCTTTTAGAATATTGATTAGTATATTTTTTGATTTCTAGGTAAATATGTAACCAAATTAAAACGTTCAAAACGTAAAAAAATGTGCATGGTTGAACATTGTCAGAAAGTAGATTCTTGAATAGGTTTTGCCAAAATGGGTTCAAAAATGTCAATAATTAATTAAAAAATACCGTAGCTTTATAATTACTTATAACTTACCGAATTTGATGAACGACATCTTTTATTGGAAAGATGAGCTTGATGAGCTTTCATCATCGCTACTGCCTGAAGCATCAACGTCAATAATGAATGGCTCGACTTGTTCCTCTAAAATATTGTCCAGTTCCCACATTCTCTTTTCAACTTTGTCTTTCACGTGCTTAATACAGTTTTCCCATTTTTGCGCTGTTATTAATTCTAGTGCTTCTTTGAAAAGCCCTTTGAGGTCACAAAATTTAAAAGTTGTATTGTGCTTAGCTATATAATTTTTAACCTCTGCCCATATGAGCTCAATGGGATTGAGCTCGCAATGGTATGGAGGTAAACGGAGCACAGTTTTATTTTGACTTGCTGCCATTTCGTCAATGGCGTATTTTTGATATTCCGCCGTGTGATCCTTGACAATTCTTAATAATTGTACTTTCAGCATTGCTTCTTCAAAGTTGATATTTTTCGAGCGGAGCCAATTTTGAACATCAACTTTCCTTGAAGCCGTTGTTGGGACCTTCTCCATTCTTCGAGAATGATAAGGCGCATTATCCAACACAATTGCTGCGTTTTCCTCTAAGTTCGGTAAAATTTTTTAAAACCACTGTTCAAACGATTCGCCATTCATTTCCTCGTGGTAATCTCCAGTTTTCTTAGACTCAAAGCACCACAGACCGTCAACAACAAATCCATCCTCACTGCCAATATGGCAGATAATGAGCCTTTTCCCTTTACCTGGAAATCGAAGTACTAACTGGTGTAGATTTATTTCAATAAGCGAACCTTTTTCAAATGTTTTCATCACATTCAGCGAAAAAACATTGAGACATGAGTATCAGATTGCTATAATTGGGATTATTTAGTCATATTAAAAGAAAGAATATTGAACGTCGTATGATTACTCAGCGCTTCACAATTTAATTTAAAGTTATAAACCTTTAAAAAATGAATGATCAGGAACCTGAAATACGCGCAAATATTAATATTAACAAATTATAACTTTATAAAGCTTAAAGTATGAATTAAAATGATTAGAAATATTAGGAACGGTACACAATATAAAACTTAGTAACTTTTTTTAAGTTTATAATATTCGACATATTTTAAGATTATATTAAAAAATTATTGAAATATCGAAAACACATAAAAACATGGCTTAAAAAAGATCTAACAAATGAAAATGACAATAAAACATCCACGCATTTTATCGAAAGTTATAAAAGTTTTGTTACTTGTAATATGTTTTATCTGCCCCCTGGAATTAATGTTTAGAACCTTGTTCCCAAGGTTTGAAAAACATCCGATTGTTGTCTATTACTCGTATTTACCTGCTGGATTTTTAATCCGGTGGACAGTCCATCTAGAAAGGCCCTCCTGGATGAAGTTACAGAATCATCAACCCATACTTTACCTGTAGTGTGTCCTGCGTTTACCCACGTTTCATCAAGGTAATAAATCTTCCTGTTTTGATTTCTATATTTCCCAATTTTTGTTAAATAATCCCTCCTCCATAGCACAATTTCTTCTCTATCCAGTAGTAAACTATTACGACCCCGTTTTTTCCATTTGAAATTTAAATGCTTCAGTAACGCATGGAAAGTTGATCGTTTGAAATTTGGCAACGTTGTATCTCCATTTACCTCCTGCACTACTTTATCTATAGTAGGTATTTCATTCCTAAAGAAGAATTCATGCACTTTCCTCCTAATCGCATGCTTATCAGCTTCATCCAATGATTTAACAATACTTTTGCGATGTTTACTGGTCATTGGCTCAGAAAAGGTGTGATTTTTTTTGTATTGTCTTAACACATTAAACACTGATGCGCGACACACCCCAACTTTGTGAGAAACCTTCACAACAATTTCTTTGATGGTTGATGCCTCGTTCTCCTCGCGCTCGATCTTATATATATTCAAAATGACCTCTTTCATTTCTGCACTCAGGTGTCTTTTTTTAGAGCGTTTCCTAGGTGGACTACAGGAGTTTACAACTTCATCGGCAGTATCTGTACTACTGGGCATTTTGCGCAAGCAGTTGATAACAATAACAAGGTATAACAATAACAACGACAAGCTCAACAACTTAATAAGATAACAAACGAAAACGTCCAAAGAAATATCAAATTGCAATGATGCACACGACATACGTAACACGTCCGAACCTGAATGTGACTCTGCCTTGATACGACTGCTCTGCCGCTCGGCATAATCATTTAATTGCGAATTGACCAATGAGGGCTCCTGTTTTACGTCGAGACGGCGGCGTTAGCGTGAAAATCACCCGAACCTTTTGTTTACATCCGGTCTATCTCTTATCTGAATATACTGTAGGACTAACCATCCCACCTGAAATATATGACACTCTAAAAACGCTCAAATATTTTTATTTTCGTTGAATCGACTTGTAATTTGTAAATAGAAACCTTACAAAGACAAAAATGCCTAACTGCATCAGTAACACAATAATCGTACATTACCGTTACAACTGTTATAAGTTCTTCTGCACCGACATCATCTGTTCCTCTAGCTGCAGCGTTAACGTTGCTGGTAAAGAACAAAAGTGCACCCAACACGACAAACCCTATCATCGTTTTTTTACACTGGCACTCCAGTCAAATAAGTTTACATTTTATATGTATCGTATATAGATATGATCATCAGGAAGTTACAAAATAATTTGAATTTTGTAACTGCAATGAATATAAACACACCGCAAACTTATCTCATGATCAATACATCAGTTATTCACTATATTAGCTATTTATTCTTAAATGTTTGAACTCGATGTTTAGTCAATTTATCGAACAATCGGACTTGCAATTCACCCTTTGTCACAATCTCATAGCTATATATACTAAGTGACATATAAATCCGAACACCCAGTTTAAATGGTTTTATTTTAATAAAAGTTCGTGAATGTATTTATCTTACTGTAAATAACAAGTGAAAAAATGTTCAGCCTTATCAGTTGGACATTCCGGTTTTTATACTACTTTTCTTTTTTCGGTTCTCGACATCCTTTACGATCGGTTACGATGCCTAGAGTACGGAGACCTGTACGATTTCGTCAACTTAGTGAGTTTGATAGGGGTCGTATAGTGGGACTTCGGGAAGCTGGACTTTCTTTTCGGGAAATTGCAGTTAGAGTGCAAAGAAGGGTAGACACTGTGGTTAGGTGTTGTCAGGCATGGCTTCGAGAAGGCCGTACGCAAAGAGAAAGGGGCACTGGACGCCGCCGTAGAACAACAGACCGTGAAGATCGTCGCCTAAGATTATTGACCTTAAGGGACCGTTTCTCCACTACCAGGTCCATTGCAAATGAATGGTTTGCAGAACACGGAAGACCTATTGGCATGCGAAGTGTTTACCGACGAATGATAAGTTTTGGCTTGTTTTCATACCGGCCACACTGGGTCCTCCCTTTAACTCGAGAACACCGACGTAATCGCCTTGAGTGGTGCAGACAACGGTCACTCTGGGATCAGGAATGGAACAGTATTGTCTTTAGTGACGAGTCTCGATTTTGTTTAGGCATGCACGATGGTCGTGCCAGGGTGAGAAGGCGACGTGGTGAAAGGAGGAATCCACAGTTTTTTGTTGAAAGACATGTTCATCACACTGTTGGAGTTATGGTTTGGGGTGCTATAGCTTATGGTTCCAGGTCACCTTTAATCTTCATCAGAGGTAACATGAGCGCGCAGCGTTATATCCACGAAGTTCTAGAACCCCATCTTTTACCCTATCTTGACACCCTGGCAGATCCAACTTTCCAACAAGATAATGCCCGGCCACATGTTGCAAGAGCCACAATAGACTTCTTTCAACATAATGATGTCACATTGTTACCATGGCCACCAAGATCTCCCGACTTATCCCCAATTGAGCACGTGTGGGATATGATGGGTAGGAGATTGCTCAATTTGCAACGTCCTCCTCAGACTCTAGAAACACTTCGAGAGGAGTTGGTGGTTGCCTGGAATGAGATACCACAGGAGGACATTGACCACCTGATCAGAAGCATGCCTAGGCGCGTTGGAGAATGCGTAGCACATCAGGGTGCATCCACACATTATTAAAGGTCAAAGGGCTTTAAATCAGTGTAATCATTTTGAAATTTTTATCATTTACTTATTATGCTTCATTAAGTATTTATACAAAATTTTATTAAAATAAAACCATTTAAACTAGGTGTTCGGATTTATATGTCACTTAGTATACTTATAGTATCGAATGTTCAAATATACTTTTTTCAATGTTATTATTGGTTGCACATAAGGCTGTGATGAGGAATTTTTTACGTAGATAAAATTGCTGTCGATGCGAGAAATGACGTTCAGGCATAAGACTCTTCTGAAGAGTTGTCCAACGGAGGTTCCTCCAGCTCTTTCGCGTTCCTTGCAAATATCTCATGAATGCGGCACTGTAAATTTGCTCATGTCCAGCCCATTCTATAAAAGGATCTAAGACCGACCTAAAACCCGACATTAAAGATGTTATATTTGAAATGTTCCTCGCTGTAAATCTTGAAAATAAACTTATTTTTTGAAAGTTCTCTGAGGACAACACAGTCCTACTATGATCCAAGTCATTCCAACTTCTGGGATCTTTTTCTATGGATTCACGTCCCCATCAAAACTGTTTCGACCAGAAATTTATTGTGCATCATCCCCATAGACTCTCAGGAATTGTTCAGCTGATGCCAGAAGTCTTATGATACTAGTTTTGAGTTACTCATTTTTTCTCACAAATCACTTTATAAATTGGAAACTGACTAACAAATTTAACTCAAATTTTGCAAGTAAGATTAGAACACCACCTTTTGACCTATTATGCTTGTGCGTTTCAATTCTTATCCCTATGGCTAGGTAGATTTATTTTCTAGCGTCGCTCGTACTTGTTCAACGTAATCGTGAAGTGCGTATAGTGATGAAAAATATTCTATGAAACAATGACTTCAGATACAGATTAAAATAACCCCGTTATCTGTTCTAGACTTTTAAGCTTTGAAGAGAATCTGAACATATCAATTTGTTCTGAAGACAACTTTTGCGGGTTTGGCTAGGTTTTCCAGTTTGTTGCGGTGTGCAGTGCGCGGTGTTACATCAGAAGAAAATACACAATCAGTGACTAAACATTTAAGTCTATATTTCCATATTACATAAATATTTAGTGTAAATATTCATTTATTAATTACATAGTCACATTATTTAAATTATAGTGCGATGATAAATTCACAGAATGTACCTATTCATAACATGTAAACGCTATGATATATAATAAATACTATTTACTTAAATCCAGCCTAACAGGGGCTGTTATTCGATAAGACAATTGGTATGAGAATTAGTAGGGGTAGAATCCTTGCAATTTACATATTCGTATGTATTTTTTCACTGAAGCAACTTGAATGTATAGACTGAAGCTATTAATATTGAGCTAACCTAAGCAACATTTGGAGGGATATAAATTTAGTTCAGACACACGAAAAGCAAAGTACGCGATCAACATGAGTTCAGACTGTCTATTAATGCATAAATAATAGAATGTCATTGCTGAAGCTTTGTGAATACCTTGTATACTTGACGGGATGACCATTTTGTACACAGTACAGACGTCTATACTACAACTATTTAAAATTGTAATGACTCATACGCGTGATCAACACGTGATCAGAGCTCGATCCCGGCTTCCTTCCAGTACAGCCGTATAGCGTACGACATATGTCGTTTCTGTAGCTTTGCGGTGGTCAACAGCACAGACAGAGATGGAAATAATGGCTGATTGTTCTCCGCCGGTAGAACCAATGAAATCAAAGGCGCGCCTCGACCGGCAGACTCATAGGCGTCGGCAACGCATTGGAACGTGTTTCGTTGAGCGATCGCATATTGTGTGTTTTTATAAGAATTGTTGTGTGATTGTTATTGCTGTGATTTCTGTGGTTACTGTTTTGGTTATACTTAACCATGGAGAGTACAAATGGCACGAGTGGAAGTACTGAAAGCCAGGGAACAAGTAGACGGCTTCGTAAAGCACTGAAGAGGGACGCGAAAGAAATGACAGGCGTTCCAGAGTGGACCATTCGCAGGGTGGTGCATGAAAAGAAGAAAACTGGAGCTACTACTGATCCAAAGTTTAATTTGAAGGGACGAAAGGCCGTTAAATTGGATGACGATAGCAAAATGGCTTTAAGGCGAACCGCACATTCATTCTTCTTTAGGAATGAGATACCAACCCTCAAGGCTGTACATGCAGCGATCAAGTAAAATGAAATTATACCCCAAATGAGCGTCGAGGTAATGAGGAAATCCCTGCACGAAATTAATTTTCGTTACGAAACGCGTAATCGGAAGTCAGTATTGATAGAGAGACCTGAAATAGTCGCCTGGCGTCGAAAATACCTACGCGAAATGATTGAATATAGGCGACAAAGCAGAAAAATCTATTATTGGACGAGACATGGGTAAATGCAGGTGACACAGTTAAAAAACCTAGATAGACAAAAACGTAGTGAGTAACCGACAAGCAAGCATTGAAGGTTTGTTAACAGGTCTTCGTGGACCGTCAGCGAAAGGTCAAAGATTGATCGTAACTCATATTGGTAGCGATAGTGGCTTTTTAGAAGAGTGCGACTTGATTTCGTCTCTAAGAAAGGAGGTGATTGCCATGCCGGAATGAATGCCAGCTGCTTCGAGAGCTGGTTTCAAGGGGTGCTTCAGCGAGTTGAGCCCAACTCTGTGATCGTCATGGATAATGCTTCCTACCATAGTCGTCGAGCCGAACGTGTACCGACTATGGGATCTCGAAAAAGTGACATGCAGCAATGGTTGCGCGAAAAAGCAATCCCGTTTGACGATTCATGTGTGAAAGCGGAATTGTATGAAAAAAGTAAACAGCACAAACCTGCGAACATTAGTAACGTGACTGATGAGATGGCCCGTCAATGTGGTGTCACTGTGCTGCGGTTACCGCCCTACACTGCGAACTGAACTCAATAGAGCTCATCTGGACTCAAGTGAAGGGTTATATTGCGCGCCATAACACAACCTTCAAATTACCAGACGTTAAGGTTTTACTTGAGACTTCCATACAGCTAGTAACGCCCGAAGCTTGGCAGAATGCTATCCGTCATGTTGTGAAGGAAGAAACAAAAATGTGACAGCTTGACCACCACATCGACACCATCATAGAGCCAGTTATAGTCAATTTCAACGAGGAAAGCGATAGCGACAGTTTATTACTGACAGGTGTAAGTGGAAGCGACGATGAATAAAGGTAATTCCAAAATTTTTGACTTACAATATGTTTCAAACCACTCTTTATTAAGCATGTGACAAATCTAGTTCACCCATGTTAAACATTCATACCCCGCCTATGAACAGCCGACTACTGGTTGTTAAGTGATGTTCACGTGAACATCGATGAGTCATTACAGTTTTAGATAGTTATAGTATAGCAGTTATAAGCCAGAAGACCCCTACGCCTTCTTAACATTCAGACGAACTTTTCCGACAGTCTATTACATTCTTTCGCCCAGCTTCCTATACTAATTGCAACATTCTGCATGATGTCTTTAAACGTCCCATAATCACAATCGATCTCACACCCTATAATCCTCAGCCTCTCTAACCCTTTCTCTGACTTGAAATAAAGATTAATATAGCGTTCTCCGTTTCGTCTTTTTTTCAACTCCCATATAACAGTTGCCGCGAAATCTGGAGGGTATCCATCGAAAACGCCCATCGAGTTCAATATGCCGGACAAGGATGTGTCGTGAGCCGAAATCATCAGCATCTTCGGAGCTGGAGACGCTCGGTTCGTTGAGGTAGCGAGGTCCAGGTGGTTGAGCAAGTAATGGAAGAATGGACCGGACTTCAGACGTTTCATTGTGGGGGTTGATGTGTATCTGCAAAAGTTGAAGGTGTAAGGTTACCTGAATCAGCATTCGTTTGAAAGGAGAATATAACAATACATACTACTGGGTGCGGCGTATATTACTTTTTTTGCCTATAATATATATTAAAACAAGAAAGATTGATATTCAAATCAAGTTGGGTACTTTATTTTGAAGGTTCATTTATACCATTTGTGTATGAAAAATAATATCGCTCAAATGTTCACCACGACTGGATTTACAGACGTCCACGCGATGGTCGAAATTTTCAATGACATTTTGCAACATGGTCGGTTCTATGGCATTTATCTCGGCAATGATGTTGTTTTTGAGTTCTTGGAGGGTGGCTGGTTTGTTGACGTAGACTTTGCTTTTCAAATATCCCCATAAAAAGAAGTCCAAGGGAGTCAAATCGCACGATCTTGGTGGCCATGGCACATTTCCTGTGCGCGAAATCACGCGATCACCGAAGAAGGACTGCAATCGATGATATTGACGTTGGTTGTGTGGCATGTTGCACCGTCTTGTTGGAAATAAACATCGGCCATATCCATTCCTTCAAGTTGCGGCAAAAAATAGTCCTCTATCATCACGTGATATCGCTCAGAATTGACGGCAACGGCGTCCCCAGCCGCATTTTCGAAAAAGTAAGGTCCGATGATGCCTTTTGACCACAATGCACACCACACAGTCACTTTTTGAGGATGCATCGGCTGCTCTTGATACTTACGGGGATTTCCGTTCGCCCAGATGCGGCAGTTTTGCTTGTTTACCGTCCCATTCAAAGTGAAATGCGCTTCGTCGCTGAACATGATTTTTGATGAAAAATTGGCATCAATTTGGCGGTGTTCAAGGAGCCAATCTGAGAACGTTCGGCGCGAAAAATGGTCGGCCCGACGCAGCTCTTGCGTCAATTGGATCTTGTAGGCGTGTACATTCAAATCCTTGTGGAGAATGCGGAGCAAACTGGTTCTCGAAATGCCCAATTCTTGGGATCGACGCGTTGTTGATTGTTTCGGATCGTCTCTCACACTCTCCTTCACAACAGCAGTATTTTCCGGTGTGCGAACGCGCGTTGGCCGGCCAGAGCCCGGCAGATTTGCCACAGAACCTGTTGCCTCGAATTTACGCACCAGACGACCGATGGTTGTTTCGTTTGGGCGGTTGTTGCGACCGAAATGTTCACGAAGCGCGCGAAACGTGTTTTTTATTTTTACACCATTTTTGTAGTGCTCTTGAATAACTTTAATGCGGTCTTCAATCGAATACGACTCCATAGCGATCAATGGTAAACATTCAACTAACAAAATGACATGTCGGTGACAGAAAACAAAGATGGCGTCTATGTCAAATTGACTTTCACTTTCCTGCGTCCCTATTGGACAACCCTTTATAAAAAATACTTCGCACCAGTCTTGGCTATCATGGACGCCATGCAGAGCCTGGAATTCGTTGGATTGTTGATCGTATTGAGGAAACTGGTTCAGCTGAAGGTCGTAGACCATCCCAAAGTGCTCTTATCTGATGAGGCTCATTTTCACCTCAATGGGTACGCAAATAAGCAAAATTGCAGATTCTGGATGGCTGAAAATCCACAACAATATCATGTACAGTCTCTCCATCCTGAAAAAGCGACGTTTTCTTCCGTTAAATACTGCCTTGTTTTTTGGGCTGTGTGCGAGCTTGCATTGTCTTAGTGGAGGATGATTCTTTTTTCGGGGTTGATTTTTCGAAGCTCGGTGGTGGCTTTTGGCAAACAAATGGTGGTATTCCAATCCGAAGTAACAGTTCTTTGCTCATTAAGAGGAATTGTTGCAATATGACCCGCCTTTGACACAAATGTCGCGACTATCTTTTTCGAAACACTTCGAGAACGGATGACTTTTGTTGGCTTTTCTTCACCTTGGAACACCCAAACAGTGGACTGTCTTTATTAATCACTGATCAACAGCCAAAAAATATCCTAAATAAAATCAACAAAATATTACTATTTTTAATGTGCTAAAACCGGAATGAAACTTATTTTTTCAAAATTAGTTCAAGTTTCAGAGATACGGTAGTTATATGTGTTCCTGCTGTGACAATGTTAATATACTGTAATTCACAAGAATGCACGTGCTACATTTTTATATTCGGCAAGGAAAGATGATGTAATCGGCATGATTGTGTTACGTTGTACATACGTGTACATTATATTGTTTTATATTAGCCATTTTTTCCTCAGTTGGCTGACAGCGTTCATGCAAGATGTCTCGAAAGTGTGTAAACAATCCAGATCAGTTTTGTTACGTGTGTGGTGATGTGACTTTTGCGTCTCAGAGACGGTCTATTACTCCACTAATAGCAAAGGCATATCAGCTTTATTTCGGTTGTAAACTAGGTGATCAAGACAAATAGTGGGCACCCCACATCTGCTGTAATACATGTGCTTCAAGTCTGAGGAGCTGGTTAAATGGCAAATAACGGTCTATGCGCTTTGCTGTCCCAATGGTTTGGAGAGAGCCTACAAATCATATTAATGATTGTTACTTTTGCATGGTACCTTGTGTTGGACAAGCCACAGGTATGTCCAAGAAAAAAAATCGGTTATTAACTACCCAAACATACCATTTGCGATGAGACCTGTGCCTCACAGTGACGAAAATCCTATTCCAAAACCCCCAGAATCCTACACTTGCGAATCAGAAAACGAATCAGATCATGGCGATCGAGTGATTCGTCAGGAAGAAGATATGCCATCAACGTCAAGAGATCCTGATTTTATACCGAGCACGTCATGCCACCAACCGCACAAAATAACACAGTCAGAATTAAATGATCTTGTAAGAGATTTAGAACTTCCAAAATGTAAGGCAGAGTTACTTGGATCAAGACTGCAGCAGTGGAACTTGTTAGAACACGATGTTTCGGTATGTGTTTTTCGTAAACGCCACAAAGACTTAGAACCACTTTTCAATATGGAGAATAACTTGGTTTTCTGCAGTAACATTAACGGCTTACTGGCGGCTTTAAATATAAACTATAACCCAGAAGAATGGAGATTATTTATAGACAGTTCAACATTGAGTTTAAAGGCAGTGTTATTGCATATTGGAAATATTTTACCATCTCTTCCTGTAGGGTATGCAGTTCACATGAAAGAATCATATGACAATATGAAGTACCTATTGACATGCATAAAATACGATGAGCACCAATGGCATATTCGTGGCGATTTGAAAGTTGTTGCACTTTTACTTAGGCTGCAGCTATTCTACACAAAGTTTTGCTGTTTTTTGTGTGAATGGGGCAGTCGGGCAAAGGCACTTCATTACACCAGCCAAAACTGGCCTGTTCGTCAATTCCTAGAGCCAGGTCAAAAAAATGTACAGCATATGCCATTAGTAGATTCGAAAAAAAATTATTAGCACCACTGCATATCAAGTTGGGCCTAATGAAAAACTTTGTCAAGGCATTAGATAGAGATGGGTCAGCTTTTCAATACCTGCGTCCGAAATTTCCAAGACTAAGTGAGGCAAAGGTTAAAGAAGGTATTTTTGTTGGGCCACAGATTCGAAATATTTTGAAAGATACACAGTTTGAAAACACTTTAACAGGTATTGAAAAAACTGCTTGGAATGATTTCCGTCTGGTGGTCACTAATTTCTTGGGAAATAGAAAAGCTGACAACTATAAAACCCTTGTCAAAAATATGCTGTCATCCTATCAAAAGATGGGCTGTAATTTGTCTCTTAAGATACATTTCCTACACTCACACCTGGACTTTTCTCCTGACAATTGCGGAACCGTAAGTGATGAGCGCGGCGAACGTTTTCATCAGGATATTTCAACAATGGAAAAAAGGTACCAGGGAAAGTGGAATCCTTCCATGCTTGCAGACTACTGTTGGACTCTTGGTAGAGATGCTCCAGAAACGATCCATAAAAGAACAGCAAAAAGACAGCGCATATAGTGATTCTTATAAGTATATGAATCTTGTTACTTTTTTTAATATATCCTTAAAAATAAAAAGTTTTTCAGCGCCCCAAAATTAACAAAGAAGTGCACTTTTCCCACAAGATACAATTAAAAAACTAAAATTTGTTGTCCAGTGTTATGGCGCGAAAATGTTCTCGGTTGAGTTCTATTTGTCTAATGACTTGGTGGCACTTAAAAATTCACTGTAGTGAGAACACCGCACGTATCGTTGTGAAACTTTGAATTTAAGTTTACTAAAGAGTGAGGTTAAGATTCAGTACTGACGTTCGATCCGCGCGGCCTCCTATGTTTCTATATGCAAAACTTAAAAGACCTCCCTCGTACCCACCTGAAGTATGCTAGACCGGCAAGATTATCTATCAAGTGCCAGTTCATATCTTTCTCCCATTCCGGCAGATAAGTGGCATTGTAGCTTTTGATAGCATACAGCGTCGATCTGATCAATTTGATATCTTCAACATCGCTCACGTCGATACCTGTCCAATTAGATATAGTTTTATACAGGTCCGCATATTTGTCGTTAATCCTGCTGAAGTAGTCCGATTTGATTGTGGCCTTCAATAGAGTATCGTACTTTGGACACGACCTCTTTTCCACTATTACGTCGTCTATGTTTCTTGGTATCGTATGGACTGGGATCGGCTGCCAGAAGATGCGGTCGTTCCATACTTGTGAGCCCTGTAAAAAAATGCCGTCAAGAAGATTTACTCCGTACTTCAGCTATAGTCAACGCCAAACAAAGTGGCGTGCACGTCATCACGATAAAAATTCCCCGACCTAATGCCTAGGTTTCTATCACAAACAATTGCTCTATTGCAGTTTCATATTAATGTGATATATAAATTGTAAAATGATCATTACTCTCTTATTATGGTTAATAGTCATATAAACATTGTTATTAAAATATCACATAAGTTGCTTTCTGATAAATTTAGACGCATTATGCGAAATAAAATGTTTTGCAAACGCTCCAATCACTTATCGACATGTAAACGCACTAAACCGATTTCGCAGCGTTGACACATTGTCACCTTGAAACTTATTTAAACTGGGAACTGACATTTGTATTAATTTTGACACTGAATCAATTTGTGGCATTTCAAATCTTTATAAATCCTTTGGCCCCGCATACTGTAAATCAACAACTGTTTGTTTCAAAACAAAATTATTCATTTTACGAGTAGATAAAGGCAATTTTGGTATATAAAGATGCCCAAACAGTTAAATAGTCGGTGTAAGGAACTCGTGGCCTCGTTAATGCACTACTTGAGCAAGAAAGGGACAACAACGGGCCTTTGTTGCCTTTAAATGCTGTTCAAGAGGTAGGTTACTAATAATTATATGTAATGTATATTAATAATAGTGAAATTTTATTTCATTTTTTGTAGCGTGTTGCTGCTGCTTTAAAAATTAGTTTAAGGACAGTTAGTCGTATTTCCGAGGGTGTGAAAAGTGATGCAAATTTAGAATCGCCCAAGAAAAAGCGGAGTTATATTAAACGTGTAACCAACACAGCGAAATTGGATACAAGTGCCATTCGAGAAGTGATCTATAATATGTATCACAAAAGTAAGATCTTATTATAATAACTTATCAGAAATTTGCATTAATTTGTTAACTAAATTATAATGTCATATTACACATGGTTTCAGAAGAACAAGTTACGATACAAACTTTATGGTCTCGATTAAGGGATAGGGCATTATTTGATGGTAGTGCCACGTCTTTAAGGCGGTTGCTTAGAGATCTTGGATTTAAGTGGCTTAAGGACAATCCGCGACGAGGGCTCATGGAACTACCAAGTATAGCTTTGAAAAGGGTGGAATTTCTAAGGCAATACAATCAAGCCAAGGTTGAGGCCTTATACCAGTTTGTCTTCCTCGATGAAACTTGGATATTTCAAAATGGGACCATAGGTCGCTCTTGGCAAAATGGAAACCAAAAAAGCGTGAAAGCTATTAAAACAGATGGTAAAAGGTATGTACTTTTACACAACTTGCACTATAAAATTTAAAACTAATATATTTTAGATACATTATATTACATGCTGGAAATGAAAATGGGTTTATTGAGGGTAGTGAAGCGATATTTTCTTCGAAAACAAAATTGAGCGATTACCATGGAGAGATGAACCAGGACAATTTTTTGAAATGGTTTCAACATCAGTTATTAGAAAAATTGGAGAGTCCATCTATGATTATACTGGATAACGCCCCTTATCACAGCATGATATTGAACAAAGTGCCCAACAATGCATGGACAAAAAAAAATATCCAAGACTGGTTGACAAATCAAAACATACCATTTTTAAACACAATGTTTAAAACAGAGCTATTGAGTATTGTTGCTCGGTACATAATGCTTCTTAATTATATATATTTTGGTCGACAGTTTATATTTCTTTTGTTTATTCCTATTCTTAAAATAACTGCTTTTTTAGAAACAAACCACCTAAAATATACGTGATTGATGAATTGGCGGAACAACATGGGCACAAAGTTCTTCGTCTGCCTCCTTACCATTGTATATTTAACCCTATTGAGTTAATTTGGGGCATAGCAAAAGGTTACTATAACAGACATATTGGTAGAGATGGTAACAGTGAAAAAGACTGTTTGGATATGTGGAACGAGGCTCTACAAACGGTTACCCCAGACATGTGGAAAAATAGTGTTCGACATACTGAGCAAGAAATTTTTAAATGGTATGAAAGAGAACGAATTTTTGATCGACCAGACATCGAACCTTTAATAATCAACTTTGAGAGTGATGAAGATTCAGATTCAGACAGCGCTGAAGAAAGAAACTCCGACTAACTTTATTGTACAGAAAAAGCTTACACCAGTAGCTTACCTAATTTTAGAATGCATTTTTCTGTATGAATTCTGTAAAATAAATACCATGCATAAAATTTGGAGGACCCCATTTGGATTTTTATTCAGTACCTTTAAGCTATCAATTAAATATGGTAGTTTCATAGTGTCATCTGATCAATAATTGTCATACTTAATGATTATGCAAGTACAGATCTATAATTTTATTATACTATTATTTTGTTCTCATTTGAGGTTAATATTGCTTATAAACCTAGATATGTAAATAATAAATTTTATTATTTTACAAAAAGTTTGGCAACAATGTAAATTTTTCAACACACCCACCTTGATGACGTGCACGCCACTTTGTTTGGCGTTGACTATAGTAAACGATTATATTCGCCACAAGTCAGCCGTTCCGAAAAAACAAGTTAGCCGCAAAAATGTATAACAAATAAATAGTAGTTTACGTGCTTTTTACTTCAGTTTTTTTAAACTATTATTTAATTTTCCTTTTTTTTTCGATTTATCAATTAGTTTTTTGTGTACATGTGGTACTGAAATGTCTTACGAATTATTCCGTAATCTGATCATCGACATTTAAAGCTTCACTATCTTGAAAAAGTATCTGCCTCCGTTGTGACGTGCCGAGTTTCGATATTTTTTTCAATAACTTACTTCGGACGTAGTAATTCTAGAAGCACGGTTGCCAGATTTACTATTCAAAGTTTCTGTTGAGCGATTAGATTAATTTTTATCGATCTACTTAAGAATATTCAGCTAAATCATATGATAAGTTATTCGCAAAATAAACGTCCTTCTACTCTAGATGTACTACACTACCCATACTTACTACCCATTAACGCAATGATAATAGTTCCCTTGAAAGAGAAGGCAATAGCCATACATACAGGGTGGCGCATCGAAAACGAAACAGACGCATTTACTGGCAGGTCAGTTTTTTTTTTGGAAAAACGCTCAGACCCGTCGATTTTGTTTCGAGGGGGACACAAGTTTGGCAAAAAATCACGTTAGCACGTGCAGCCCCCTTATCGGGGTGACACCACCCCCAAAATCTTAAATGGAAAGGGGGGTCGAGTGATACCATATTTTAAAGGTCTTTCAATTTCCTTTATAATGATGTAAAATACATGAGCTTCAGTTTAGTAGTTTTGAAGATTTATTGATTTGAAGCTTAAAAGTAGACTTTAATAGGTAGGATTAGTTTGTACTACTTTCAGAAGAAATTTGACTAAAAGAATTTACTTAATAAGTAAATGCTTTTCTTCACTACGCCCATGGTTTGTTTATCATTTTGTTGTTGAAAATAGCTATTGGAGCGTTTTTTTTGTGGCAAAAAAGTTATTTCTTGAAGAAAGATAAGGAAATATCTCGTACTTATTTTAAATAGGAATTTGAGCGTTTTTCCAAACAAAAAAAACTGAGCTGCCAGTAAATGCGTCTGTTTCGTTTTCGATGCGCCACCCTGTATAAGGAAACAATGAGTGTTACACAGCTCAGGCATCATAGGGAGTGTAAATGACAGGACCCGCTAAGTACCATACCTGATGACGATTTGTTAATCAATGGTGTTACAGGCCCAAATGGTGTCTGATTTCTGCAATTTGGCAAATCGGAAAATAGGGAACAAGTTGCAGGTCGAATATCTTCATTAAGCAATATCATCAATGCAGTGTTGCCATTTATACTACCTCTTATTACCGGCTGTGTAATCGCGGTAATAACATACTGTATGACATTTGAAGGGTCATTTTATATTCAATTTCAATAGTATTTATCTAAATGTCTAAATGAAGGATTTCATAATAGACATATATACGTATATATATATATACAGGGGTGTTTCAGTTTATTGTTGCATAACTTTAAGCGTGGCTTCCGAAATACAGGGTGTTTAAATTCACTTTCTAAATTAGTTTTTTTTAAATATTTCGAACAATATTTGATTTATAACAGTGAAAATTGGTATACAAGGGTGTTTTGGTACGACAAAACGAACCATGGGCATAGTTTTACTGTAGCCGCTAGAGGGCGCTCTCTACTGTACCTGTAGTGTATTAAAATGACCGAAAACTTTTTTTTAGTGCAATTTTTTGCTTTTTGAATAAAAATACTGATTCTTCGCACTTTTCAACATAAAAAAGCTTGTCTTGTGAATTTTTGTTATAGTTAGCCGTTTTTGAGATACTTCGATTTTTAAGGTTCGATGCATTTTTAATTATTTATGATAAAATAACGTTAAAAAGTCAGTATCTCGATAATTTTAGAAGTAGGCTGTGCCTGCAAATATTTTTGAAATTGAAAGCAGAATAAGATTAAACGTCAATTAGTTGACAGTTAGTTTTGTTGTCTGTTGAAACCTGAAACGTTTTTTTGCAATTGTGAATGCACGAAATTTAGTTTCTTTTACCTGTTTTTTTTTGTAAGACGACATCCAACTCGCTCAGTATTTGTAAGAGTGCATCGCCAAATAATTGAAAATGGTTTTGGAAATCTCCAAAGGGATCAAAACATAAATGTTCGTCAGCGCAGATTTACCCATATGATTCTGCGTGAGTTTGATAGAGATCCGACCACAAGTGTTAGGAGAGTTTCTGGTGCCTTGGGAATTTCAGCAAGCCATGTTCACCGTGTTCTTAGAAATGACCGTAGACGTCCTTACCATTTGCAACCTGTGCAAGAACTACAGCCAGGGGACGGAGAACGAAGAATCACATTTTGTCAGTGGATTCTTGATAAAACTGGTAATAATAGGGAGTTTTTAAGTAACGTTTTATGGACCGATGAGTCATGCTTCACTACACGTGGAGTGGTAAGTTTTCATAATCAACATATTTGATCGCATGAAAATCCGCATGCAGTTCGGGAAAGAAATTTTCAGCATGAATTTAGTGTGAACGTGTGGATTGGTATCTACCGTAATCGACTATTTGGACACTACCTTTTGCCTGCAAGGTTAAATGCTGCGACCTTCTTGGAATTTTTAAAGGCTGAACATGCAAATATGTGGGATGATGTTATGTTAGATTTAAGAAGATTGGCCTGGATCCAGCTTGATGGTTGTCCAGCTCATTATTCGAGAATAGATAGAAACTGGCTGGATGAAAATTATCCAGAAAGATGGATCGGCCGTGGAGGAACAGTCGCCTGGCCTCCACGATCCCCTGACCTAAATCCATTAGATTTCTTTGTGTGGGGATTTCTAAAAGAAAAAGTGTACCAGACTCCCGTAACTACAAAAGATATGCTAATAGACAGACTCAGGAATGCATGTGATGAAATAAGGCCTTATTTGAATAATGCTATACCACGTTCGATCATTCGTAGATGTGAATTGTGTATTGAACAATTGGGTTTACATTTCGAGCAACTACTTTAGATTTTGTATGTTTGTCCTAACGATCCAATAGCATTTTAGTTCTAAATAATTAATTTAATTTGTTAAAAATAATATTGGAACATTAAACAAATTAATATTCTGTTTTTTGTATTTATTTGGAGTTAGGAATTATTGCTGTGTTTAAAAACACAATCTAAACGATCATCTTAATTACTTGTAATGCCCAAATCGAAAATGTAAAAAAAATATTATTTTCCCATAAATAATTAAAAATGCATCGAACCTTAAAAATCGAAATATCTCAAAAACGGCTAACTGTAACGAAAACTCACAGGAGAGCTTTTTTATGTTGAAAAGTGCGAAGAATCAGTTTTTTTATTCAAAAAGCAAAAAATTGCACTAAGAAAATTTTTTCGGTCATTTTAAAACACTACAGGTACAGTAGAGAGCGCCCTCTAGCGGCTAGAGTAAAACTATGCCCATGGTTCGTTTTGTCGTATCAAAAACCCTTATATACCAATTTTCACTGTTATACATCAAATATTGTTCGAAACATTTAAAAAAAACTATTTTAGAAAGTAAATTTAAACACCCTGTATTTCGGAAGCCACGCATTTTTCAACCCTTGTTTATATGGACTTTATGCATTAATTTTGAAAGTTCTATCGAATCTTAAAGTTATATATATATATATATATATATATATATGTATATATACCTGGACTCAAGGTTCGGAGACAACATATTTTTTTTTAATTTCCCAGTGAAGTTATTCTTAGTTTTTATATTCAATTGAAACGAATGCATTATTGATTAAATTAATAATGATTCCTCTTGTAAAAAATCGATCCAAAGAATTACTGATAATTGTAAGCTACATTTTTGGAACAAAGTGCTTACATACAAAATTGTCTGAGTATTTATTTACCTGTGGTGGGTACAATCCTGCAAGATTTGAGTACGCTGACATTAAAACCCTGTCTTCATCTGTAGATCTCACGTATATCTCGCTTGCTTTATAAGTTGGGGACAGTAAGAAGTCGTAGCGTTTCCTCAACCACTTTCCTAGATCGTACTGTCTTTCTATACCAAACTGGAATAGTATTGAACAAATAAGTCGGCAGATCGATTATGTTAATTAAAAGTACTGATACAGAGCGGCCAATGTGTTAATTTATTAACGTAGCTTTAAGAAATCTTAAAACCCCTTTGTATCGAGCAGCTGAAGCACTTCTAAGATCAGTAGGTAGGTCATGGTAGGTCCAAAGAAAATGAATAGTTTTATGGCGAATTCAATTAAAAACCTGATATTAACTACATTGATTTGGAGGTTGCTAAGCGAACATCTAACACACTTAAAAAAGTGACGACGAGATTTTGCAGATCGAACAAGTCACCATCATAAAACTTGTGCAAAAACAAAATTTCAAATAGTGCTCTACTAGCACGCTGGGCTGTATGGGTTTCATTCAAAAATATTGAAAAATGGAGTGTCAGTTTCGAAGCAGCTGAACCCTTGCAAATGGCTTGAAACTCACTGCGTCGGAGCCGCCTTAAAAGGTTCATAATCATTCTTCTCAAAACGTGCGAAGCATGAACTGACTTACCTTTGTCAAATGACCGAATCCCATTGGCCAGTAAGATGGATCGCAGTACTTACTCGTTGGAATTGGCTTTATTGGGGCTCGATCTCCATGTCTGTAAACCTATTCAGAAATGTCGATGTCTTTGAATACACATATGAAATTATCAACCAATTGTACGTTTCGATTTGGAGTTGATTAATATTTGGGGAAGATCTGTTGTCGCAAAAAAATTTAATAAAACATGTTTTGTTCCCGGCCTTCTGGAAGATCAACATGGACCTGGACCTGACGATACGCTCTCATACGGGGTTAACTGCCAATTTTTGAATAACAGCAGAAATGCTTATATAATAAAAAATGGAAAAATAAGAGTATATTCTTTTTGTAATGTTTGTTACCTTCTTCAAATTTTGGTCAAATCAATCGCAAACTATGTACTAAATTCCTATTTAAAATAAGTACGAGATATTTCCTTATCTTTCTTCAAGAAATAACTTTTTTGCCACAAAAAACGCTCCAATAGCTATTTTCAACAACAAAATGATAAACAAATCATGGGCGTAGTGAAGAAAGCATTTACTTATTTTAGTCAAATTTCTTCTGAAAGTAGTCCAAACTAATCTGATGTACCTTTAAAGTCTACTTTAAGCTTTAAATCAATAAATCTTCAAAACTTCTGAACTGAAGCTCATGTATTTTACATCACTATAAAGGGAATTGAAAGACCTTTAAAATAAGGTATCACTCGTCCCCCTGTATTTTTAGACGTTTGAAATTTTATCGGATAAAGTTTTCGGTTTTAATCGCACAAACCGGACCCCTATATCTGTAAACACCACTATTTGCTTAACATCCTTTTACTTTTCTTACCACTAGGAATTAGAAGAAACAATTTGTACGTCCGCGATTTTTGCATCTAAGGAACTAAATACTGCTTAAGAATAGAATACTAATTACACTGATCAACAGCCAAAAAATATCCTAAATAAAATCAACAAAATATTACTATTTTTAATGTGCCGGAATGAAACTTATTTTTTCAATATTAGTTCAAGTTTTAGAGATACGGTAATTATATGTGTTTCCTGCTGTGACAGTGTTAATATACTGAATTCACAAGAATGCACCTGCTACATTTTTATATTCGGCAAGGAAAGATAATGTAATCGGCATGATTGTGTTACGTTATACATACGAGTACATTATATTGTTTTATATTAGCCATTTTTTTCCTCAGTTAGCTGACAGCGTTCATGCAAGATGTCTCGAAAGTGTGTAAACAATCCAGATCAGTTTTGTTACGTGTGTGGTGATGTGACTTTTGCGTCTCAGAGACGGTCTATTACTCCACTAATAACAAAGGCATATCAGCTTTATTTCTGTTGTGAACTAGGTGATCAAGACAAACAGTGGGAACCCCACATCTGCTGTAATACACGTGCTTCAAGTCTGAGGAGCTGGTTAAATGGCAAAAAACGGTCTATGCTCTTTGCTGTCCCAATGGTTTGGAGAGAGCCTACAAATCATATTAATGATTGTTACTTTTGCATGTTAGCTTGTGTTGGACAAGCCACAGGTATGTCCAAGAAAAAAAAAATGGTATTAACTACCCAAACATACCATCTGCGATGAGACCTGTGCCTCACAGTGACGAAAATCCTATTCCAAAACCCCCAGAATCCTACACTTGCGAATCAGATCATGGCGATCGAGTGATTCGTCAGGAAGAAGATATGCCATCAACGTCAAGAGATCCTGATTTTATACCGAGCACGTCATGCCACCAACCGCACAAAATAACACAGTCAGAATTAAATGATCTTCTAAGAGATTTAGAACTTCGAAAATGTAAGGCAGAGTTACTTGGATCAAGACTGCAGCAGTGGAACTTGTTAGAAGACGATGTTTCGGTATGTGTTTTTCGTAAACGCCACAAAGACTTAGAACCATTTTTCAATATGGAGAATAACTTGGTTTTCTGCAGTAACATTAACGGCTTACTGGCGGCTTTAAATATAAACTATAACCCAGAAGAATGGAGATTGTTTATAGACAGTTTCAACATTGAGTTTAAAGGCAGTGTTATTGCATATTGGAAATATTTTACCATCTCTTCCTGTAGGGTATGCAGTTCACATGAAAGAATCATATGACAATATGAAGTACCTATTGACATGCATAAAATACGATGAGCACCAATGGCATATTTGTGGCGATTTGAAAGTTGTTGCACTTTTACTTGGGCTGCAGCTAGGCTACACAAAGTTTTGCTGTTTTTGTGTGAATGGGACAGTCGGGCAAAGGCACTTCATTCCACCAGACAAAACTGGCCTATCCGTCAATTTCTAGAGCCAGGTCAAAAAATTTACAGCATATGCCATTAGTAGATTCGAAAAAAATTTTATTACCACCACTGCATATCAAGTTGGGCCTAATGAAAAACTTTGTCAAGGCATTAGATAGAGATGGGTCAACTTTTCAATACCTGCGTCAGAAATTTCCAAGACTAAGTGAGGCAAAGGTTAAAGAAGGTATTTTTGTTGGGCCACAGATTCGAAATACTTTGAAAGATACACAGTTTGAAAACACTTTAACAGGTATTGAAAAAACTGCTTGGAATGATTTCCGTCTGGTGGTCACTAATTTCTTGGGAATAGAAAAGCTGACAACTATAAAACCCTTGTCAAAAATATGCTGTCATCGTATCAAAAGATGGGCTGTAATATGTCTCTTAAGATACATTTCCTACACTCACACCTGGACTTTTCTCCTGACAATTGCGGAGCCGTAAGTGATGAGCACGGCGAACGTTTTCATCAGGATATTTCAACAATGGAAAAAAGGTACCAGGGAAAGTGGAATCCTTCCATGCTTGCAGACTACTATTGGACTCTTGGTAGAGATGCTCCAGAAACGATCCATAAAAGAACAGCAAAAAGACAGCGCATATAGTGATTCTTTTAAGTATATGAATCTTGTTACTTTTTTTAATATATCCTTAAAAATAAAAAGTTTTTTTTCTAAACCGCAACTAATTTTTTTATTTCATTGCCATTTTTGGATTCAGCGCCCCAAAATTAACAAAGAAGTGCACTTTTCCCACAAGATACAATTAAAAAACTAAAATTTGTTGTCCAGTGTTATTGATGATTGGCAATTCTTACTAGGCCAAATATTATTCAAATCACGGATACGTAAACCGTTATGTTACAAAATGATCTTTGTACGCTTTTCGTTATTTTCTGTAGCTTAAATCGATAACAAAGTGGGTGTCTCCTTTTGGACACTGTTCTCTACGTACCGTTACTACAGTTATAAGTTCATCTTCTTCACTGATATTTCTTCCAGTCGTTGCAGCATGATGCTGGTTCAGGAAGAATACCAGAACGAGCACAATGAAACCATACATTTTCAATATTTAACTGATTATCATTACCGGTAGTTCGGTTTTATAGTAAAAACTTAAGTGGACGATGTATAATTTTTGTGAAGTGCTGAAAATAGGAAATCTGAAGTGTGCTGATACGAAGGCAAATACGTGAGTTATTCTTTTAGCAATTTCATTGGAAACGTCATTCGGAGTTCTCTGCGTCATGTCGTGTTAAGATAAAAATCTTTACTCTTGACTGGGAGAACTCAGTTGTGTTTACTTTGGGTTTTCCCAGTTTATCCACCGTTGTCATATTGACAACAGTATAGTCAACGCCAAACAAAGTGGCGTGCACGTCATCAAGGTGGGTGTGTTGAAAAATTTACATTGTTGCCAAACTTTTTGTAAAATAATAAAATTTATTATTTACATATCTAGGTTTATAAGCAATATTAACCTCAAATGGATATAGATCTGTACTTGCATAATCGTTAAGTATGACAATTATTGATCAGATGACACTATGAAACTACCATATTTAATTGATAGCTTAAAGGTACCGAATAAAAATCCAAATGGGGTCCTCCAAATTTTATGCATGGTATTTATTTTACAGAACTCATACAGAAAAATGCATTCTAAAATTAGGTAAGCTACTGGTGTAAGCTTTTTCTGTACAATAAAGTTAGTCGGAGTTTCTTTCTTCAGCGCTGTCTGAATCTGAATCTTCATCACTCTCAAAGTTGATTATTAAAGGTTCGATGTCTGGTCGATCAAAAGTTCGTTCTCTTTCATACCATTTAAAAATTTCTTTTTCAGTATGTCGAACACTATTTTTCCACATGTCTGGGGTAACCGTTTGTAGAGCCTCGTTCCACATATCCAAACAGTCTTTTTCACTGTTACCATCTCTACCAATATGTCTGTTATAGTAACCTTTTGCTGTGCCCCAAATTAACTCAATAGGGTTAAATATACAATGGTAAGGAGGCAGACGAAGAACTTTGTGCCCATGTTGTTCCGCCAATTCATCAATCACGTATATTTTAGGTGGTTTGTTTCTAAAAAAGCAGTTATTTTAAGAATAGGAATAAACAAAAGAAATACAAACTGTCGACCAAAATATATAATTATATAATTAAGAAGCATTATGTACCGAGCAACAATACTCAATAGCTCTGTTTTAAAACATTGTGTTTAAAAATGGTATGTTTTGATTTGTCAACCAGTCTTGGATATTTTTTTTTTGTCCATTCATTGTTGGGCACTTTGTTCAATATCATGCTGTGATAAGGGGCGTTATCCAGTATAATCATAGATGGACTCTCCAATTTTTCTAATAACTGATGTTGAAACCATTTAAAAAAATTGTCCCGGTTCATCTCTCCATCGTAATCGCTCAATTTTGTTTTCGAAGAAAATATCGCTTCACTACCCTCAATAAACCCATTTTCATTTCCTGCATGTAATATAATGTATCTAAAATATATTAGTTTTAAATTTTATAGTGCAAATTGTGTAAAAGTACATACCTTTTACCATCTGTTTTAATAGCTTTCACGCTTTTTTGGTTTCCATTTTGCCAAGAGCGACCTAAGGTCCCATTTTGAAATATCCAAGTTTCATCGAGGAAGACAAACTGGTATAAGGCCTCAACCTTGGCTTGATTGTATTGCCTTAGAAATTCCACCCTTTTCAAAGCTATACTTGGTAGTTCCATGAGCCCTCGTCGCGGATTGTCCTTAAGCCA